GTGTTCATTCAGGAAAGGAAGGGGCTGGTAAATGTGACATATTTACCAGAACCTTACCCCACTTTCCATCCTGAAGGATCCTATAGTGTGCTTGCAGCTGCTGGTGGGAAGGGGGGAGGAGAGAAGCCGGAAGCACTGCAGGGGTGGGGCCACACAGGGGGGCCAGGGCAGCAGGGGGAAAACTTATTGTACACAGGGAGGGTGATGGGTGGAGGGTCAATTACTGGAACCGATCCCCTGTATAGCTCTCTCTGCAGCAGCTGAAAGCCAGCAGGAGGGAGAGGAGAAGAAGCCAGCTTTCAGCTGCTGCAGAGAGAACCACACAGGGGGATCGGTTCCAGTAATGAACTCCTCACCCTCCACCACTATGCCGATTACCCTCCCTGTTCGCATCCGATTAACCCAGCTCCCTGGGCCCCCCTGCTGGCCTGGTCCCTGTACAGGAGGACTGGTGCTACCCCCTTATTCCCTGGCCTTGGACACAGCTGAACATAGAACGTTGTACCAGGCTGCTGTGGTAGTCCCGAGTACCATGTGGTCGCTGATTGGCCAATCAGCGATCACATGCACAGTAGTAAACAAGATGTAATTTCCCGGCCTCACTGTTTACTACATTGAGCTCTGTGATCAATCACAGAGATCACATGGTACAAGGCCATTAACAGCAGCCTTGTGCCATGTGATAAGCTGTGACCAATCACAGCTCTCACAGTATTTCTCAATGACTGCAGGAATGTAGCCAGAGAGAGTGAGAAATGATTGCTTTTACAGCCAGCATGGTTGTAAAAGGAATCACTGTAAAAAAAAAAAAAACAAATTCTGATCACCCCTCCACAAGTAGTACGGTGTCACATTGGTGACACTGTACTGCTAGGGTAACAGTATGTGAAAAAATAAATATAAAATGTAAAAAAAGATTTTGTAAAAATAAATTTTTTTTTTCTATATACTGTATTTTTCTCTCCATAAGACGCACCTAAGTTTTAGAGGAGAAAAACAAGAAAAAAAATATTCTGAGCCAATGGTCTGCAGACACAGTACAGGAGATGACCAGTGACTGCAGACACAGTACAGGAGATGACCAGAGACTGCGGACACAGCACAGGAGATGACCGGAGACTGCGGACACAGCACAGGGGATGACCGGAGACTGCGGACACAGCACAGGGGATGACCGGAGACTGCGGACACAGCACAGGAGATGACCGGAGACTGCGGACACAGCACAGGGGATGACCGGAGACTGCGGACACAGCACAGGGAATGACCAGAGATTGCGGACACAGTACAGGGGATGACCGGAGACTGCGGACACAGCACAGGAGATGACCGGAGACTGCGGACACAGCACAGGAGATGACCGGAGACTGCGGACACAGCACAGGAGATGACCGGAGAGACTGCGGACACAGCACAGGAGAGGACCGGAGACTGCGGACACAGCACAGGAGAGGACCGGAGACTGCGGACACAGCACAGGGGATGACCGGAGACTGCGGACACAGCACAGGGGATGACCGGAGACTGCGGACACAGCACAGGGAATGACCAGAGATTGCGGACACAGTACAGGGGATGACCAGAGACTGCGGACACAGTACAGGGGATGACCAGAGACTGCGGACACAGTACAGGAGATGACCAGAGATTGCAGATACAGTACAGATGACCAGAGACTGCAGACAGTACAGAGGATGATCAAGAGACTGCGGACCTTTGGGGAGGGAGGGGTAGCAGGTACCTGAATTTGACAGCTACCCGCTCCCACTTCCACAGAGTTGTCCTCTCTTTAGTGCGTGCACCCGGCTGTGCTGGGTGCCCACTGAGCGTGCGCAAGAAGCGCTGCGCTTTGTGAATGGCCCGGTGTCTTCTGGGAACCATCATGTGTCCCAGAAGACACCGGACCATTCACAAAGCACAGCACTTCTCGCACATGCGCAGTGGGCACCCGGCTGTCACAGCCTGGTGCCCACACTAACGTTGCCGGCGCTGGAAGACTGCACAGCACTGGACCGAGGAACAAGTAAGGTCCTGCTGCAGAGGAGAGCTGAGCGGCCGGCCCGGTATTCTGACACGGTGGCGGCGGCAGAAATACCGAACCGGCCGCTCCATAAGATGCACTGACATTTTCCCCCTTTTTTTGGGGGGAAAAAAGTGCTTCTTATGGAGCGAAAAATACGGTACTGATTTGGGTTATTTTTTTTTTTTTTACCAAAAAAGGTAGGAGAATACATTTTGGCCTAGATTGATGAAGAAAGATTATTTATTTGCAATATTTTAGAAAAGTGGAAGAGAGTGAAAGTGTCCTGACTTGAAGTGGTTAATAAAAGTGCAATGGGCATATTATCACCTGTAAAGGGGTGACAACTATTAGGCTGCTTTCACACTGATTCATGGGGGCAGCGCAGTGCACCTGAGGGTTTCTTGTGGGTTCGCTGCACTGAGCCATACAGTAGACTTCTATAATATCCTGCAAGTTTGGTGCGCTTTCAGAAAGTGCAGCACAGCCGCAAGATATAATAGAAGTCTATGGCAAAGTGCAGCTAACCCGTAGGAAAGCCGCAGGTGCACTGCGCTGAACCCTGGGTGCGGGTAAACCGCAGGGTATCAGTGTAAAAGAAGCCTTGTTAGAATACCGGGCCGGCCACTACTGTGCAGAAGAACCTGCTGCTCGGTCCTACTTCCTCGGTGCAGCAGTGTCCTGCTTTCACCGGCCGCCTCTCTCTCTCTGGCGCCGGCATCTTCAGTGTGCGCACCCGGCTGTGACAGCTTGTGGCTTCACAGCCGGGGGCCCACTGCACATGCGCGAGAAGCGCTGCGCTTTGTGAATGGCCCGTAGTCTTGTGGGATCTGTCACGTGTCTCACAAGACTACGGGGGGGGAGGACAACTCCGCGGAGGTGGGAGCGGGTACCTGTCAAATTTGGGTACCCACCCCTCTCCAAAGGTCCGCAAGTCTCTGGTTATCCCCTGTACCGTGTCGGCAGTCTCTGGTCATCCCCTGCACCGTGTCCGCAGTCTCTGGTCATCTCCTGCACCGTGTCCGCAGTCTCTGGTCATCTCCTGCACTGTGTCCGCAGTCTCTGGTCATCTCCTGCACTGTGTCCGCAGTCTCTGGTCATCTCCTGCACCGTGTCCGCAGTCTCTGGTCACCTCCTGCACCGTGTCCGCAGTCTCTGGTCACCTCCTGTACTGTGTCCGCAGTCTCTGGTCATCTCCTGCACCGTGTCCGCAGTCTCTGGTCACCTCCTGCACCGTGTCCGCAGTCTCTGGTCACCTCCTGTACTGTGTCCGCAGTCTCTGGTCACCTCCTGTACTGTGTCCGCAGTCTCTGGTCACCTCCTGTACTGTGTCTGCAGTCTCTGGTCATCCCCCCTCAGCCAATGGTTGTGAGCTCTGACCGGCGTGTTCTGGTGGGGGGGGGGGGGGCAGTCCCCCTGTCAGAACACAATAGCTAGGCCGGGAAATCTCGGTACCAACATCAAAGAACAGCGACCTCCTCAGGTTTTTTTGCCGTTCAGCCCACTTTGTTAAATAAACATTTTTTTAAAAAAAAACCCTTAACTTGGCATAAGGCTATTGCACATACCCCTGTGTGAGAAGGCTTTGATGGAAGCAGCCACTCCCCAACTTAAATGCTACATACATCAGATCTAGGAAAGCCTCCTATTTATTTATTTCAGGTACTTATAAAAAGCACCATTGATTTAGGCAGCACTTTACATATATATTGTACATTCACATCATTCCCCGGTCCTCAAGGGGTGTACAATCTAAGGTCCCTAACTCACATTCATACATACACATACTAGGGACAATTTAGACAGGAGCCAATTTACCTACCAGCATGTCTTTTGGAGTGTGGGAGGAAATCGGAGTAACCGGAGGAAACCCACACAGGGAGAACATGCAAACTCCAGGCAGGTGGTGCTGTGGCTGGGATTTGAACCAATGACCCCCGAGTACTGCCAGGCGGAATTGCTAACCACTCAGCCACTGTGCTGCCCAATTCACTAGGACTCTGCCCAGGTCTCACATATAGCACAAGTTGGGTGCTTCCACCGCAGCCTTCTCACAGAGGCGTATCCAGTAAGCAAAGCAGAAGTGTATACAGTGTGCAATGACCACATAGCAGACACTCCGTCTTTCACTTCCTTCATTATCTCCCCTGCACCCATGACAGACAGTAGAAGCAGCCGGACAGATATGACAAACTTTTATTAAGCCATGAAATCGGATGGAGACAGAACATAGCTGACCCTCCAGATCATTTGACTACCTGGACATAGCACGACAACCCACAATGCACCTGGGTCTCTACCCCAACACAAGGCCCCACCCCCTGCACACCCCATTATTATAAATAGACTCTGAGCTCTAAAATATTTACACTGTAAAAGGAACAATGTACAAATAAATAATCATAAAATCTGACGGTGAAAAAGGCACCTCGTCGCCCTCCACCATTGATGACGCGTTCCGTTATCAGAGTGCACACAGGAAGTTGGCTGTGCACTGGATGGAAATGTCCCCCCTGGCCATCACACCATATGTAAGATCACATCATCAACCTGTGTAAATACCCCCCAGCAGTAAATACCCCCCAGCAGCCATCTGTGTCCTGAAATCAGAGCATGCAATTGGATGGTGTAAAGTGGCCAGTTAACCCTTCTCATGCTGCTCGGTGAAGATTCTCAGTCAGTGCGGCCTGTACAGCAGATGTGGCTGGCGTGATTTAGTGATCCTTCCATGGGTGTGGTCCAGCTCCCCTCCTGAGGTATGTGGGTAGAAGCAAAGGATTGTGGGCACTGCAAAGTCTTCAAAGACCACAGAAGCCAAGGTGTGTGACCTTCAGAGAAAGGATTTCAGCGTGACCACTTTGGAAAGATCTGAATTATTGGTAGAGTCACGTACGGAGAGACACCCTAGCTGTGCAAACAGGCACCATCTGTGCACCCTGTTCGGTTGTAGGGGGTCCCGCCTTCCCGGCCCCCCACAGTCTCAGCTGCTGTAGTAGACGTGGAAGTAGAGCATCTTGTTGCGCAGCAGGGAGTAGGAATTGTCCAGTTTGAGCAGATAAACGCCTTCTCCAGGATAGTCGTGGCTTCCAGCTTGCACCTCGCGGTGACTGTCCCTGCGAAACACCTGCATGATCTCCCCATAGCGGCTACGCAGGCGGTACACAGATCCTCGCTCTACGTCTCCCTCCCGGCTGTGCCCTGGAACACAGAAACATCGAGCAATCAGAATGAAAACCCAGCACAACAACATAAGGAGATTAACCCCTTCATGGTGGCCGCACACAAACGTGCGACCTCCCGGCGTTGGGCCTAGACGCCGGGCGGCCGCACATTTGCGTTCATGTAACACAAAACATGTGCTGAGAGCGCATGTCCTGCGCGCTTCCAGCAGACGTGCGGTACACACGGAAAGGTCCCGGTCCGCTCTTTCGATCGGGGGACCTTTCCTGATCATGTGACAACACGTCACGGCGGTCACATGATCCCTAAACCACACCCCGTCTCTCCCGGCGTCTGAATCTCCTAAAGGGCCAGGAGGCACCGGCGGGAAGGGGTTAACCTCCATAGCAGTGTGATTATGTCAATATTTCTGTAATCAAAGCGGTACTTTTTTTGCATGGAAATATGTAGGCCTGTATTTTTTAGGAATAACTCCCTGAAATCTGTCCGAACAAGAGTCTAGTAAACATCCCGGGTATGATAAAATTTGAAACACGAAATCATAAATTATAATTTAATAAATAATCATAAAAAATAATATTCTGAGCAAAGTCGCAGAATCGTTTTCAGTGTCTGATGAGGAATTTCCCCCATGAATCATTATCACTCAATTCTGCAAGTGGTTCTGATTTACTATCACTGTTCTCTAGCCGGTCTAAAATCGCTTTTGACCTAAAGGGACGCTTTTTGGTTGCCATGGACGTTTCTCACTTTCCAGGCAGAAAGAACGGTAAAAATGCAGGCAGGACGCAGGACAAAGCACTCGGGACAAAATGTATGTGAAATGGTTTGATACAGGAATGTAATACTATGTGATTTTAGTGTCACTTTTTGACATTTTTAAAATTTCCCGCCAGTTCCCTCCTCTGTACGTCCCGACGTTGCAGGGAACAGAACCCGGAAAATAGAATCCAGCATCAGCTGGGGGACATTGCTGGGGACACTGCAGGGGGGACAACGCGGGAGTGAAGGACAAGGTAAGTGCAGAAGGGATCCCGGAGCAACGCTGCAGCATATTCCCGAGTGTAGCTCGGGGGGGTTACCGCTGGTGGTGCTGAAACTTTACCCCGAGCTACACTCGGGAATACCACCGGGGGGGGGGGGGGGGTTAATGAAACCGGATATAGAGTTCCTGCCCCCAAGGACCCTGGCTCTAGAGACCCCCTGCTCCTAGAAACCCTGCTTGTAGAGTCCCCACCACCAGAGATCCTGCTTTTAGGGGCCCCCCCCCACCCCCCAGAGGGCCTGCCATGGGAGTCTCCACCCCCCCAGAGGGCCTTCCATGGGAGTCCCCCCCCAGAGGGCCTGCTGCCATGGGAGGCCCCCCCCCCCCAGAGGGCATGCTGCCATGGGAGTCGTCCCCCCAGAGGGCCAGCCATGGGAGTCTGTCCCCCCCCCCAGAGGGCCTGCCATGGGAGTCGTCGTCCCAGAGGGCCTGCCTGCAGCAACCCCCATTCCCAGCCTGACTTACAGGGGCTCTCAGTCTCCTCCTCTTCCTCATCATCACTGGAGTCGCTGACTTGTATGGTCACCGCTGTGCTGGTCACTGGTGTCCAATCAAAATAGATTCCAAAGCCAATGTCATAATCGTCAGTGGCAAACTCCCAGCAGAGCCGCTTCCCGTCGGGGTGCGTGGGAACCCGAACGGTCATCACTTCCCCTCTCCGCACAGTCAGCATTCCATGCTTCTCACTGGCCATTCGGTGCTTGAATTCTCGTATGTTGGCACTGGTCCAGGTGGTGGGTGGTCTCAGTGGTGGGGGAGGAGCTACAGGGGATAAAGGAAAGATTTAATTTTCTATATACTGCCCCTTCTCTACCAGTGTCCCCATCTCGATTCTCACCTTTCTTATCTGTCACAACGGGTTCATCTGTATTCTCTTCTACCTTCACCAAGTCCACCATGCCGGCGTGCTCTGACTGGATCATGAGGACATCCAGAGGAGGAGGGTCAGTGCAGCCAGACAGGAGGGCTTCCAATTCCTGGAGGACAGAAAAGAATGGAGAGGGAATGGGGGGAGTACAACCTAGAATGAGAGACTGGGGGGGTCAAATCTGAGGAAAGGGATGAGGAAGTATGACCTGATACAAGGGATGAGGGGTAAAATCAAGGACAAGGAATTGGGTAGGAGGTATAACCTTGGTTGAGGGACTGGGTAGGGGGTATAACCTGGGGAGAGATTAGGAAGGGGGGGGGGCGTATAGCCAAGGAAAAGGGTGGGGACAACCTAGAATGAGTGATTGGGGGGGGGGGGGGGGACCTGGGTGAAGGGATTTGATAGGAGGGGAGTATTACCTGAGATGGGGGATTTGAAAAAGGACAACCTAGGGCAAGGAATGGGGGTAAACATGGGATGAGGAGTTGGGGAGGATACAACCTGGAACAAGTGGGAAGGAAGGGTGGGTGGAGGGGTAGAGCGTGGTATGACACGGGGTAAAGGTATCTGGGGAGGTAAAAACTGGGATGAAAGGAGGGGGGCAAATGAGATGAGGGATTTGGGAAGTGGTGTATAGCATGATTCAGGGATTTTGGAAGGAGGGCACAACCTAAGATGAGGGATTTGAGAGAGAATAACCAGGGCCTGGGGATGGAATTATGACCTAGTATGAGGGATTAGGATAGGGGGGGAGGGGGGGGTGAACATTACTATGTCCGTAGTGCCCCAAGGCGTCATAAATGGCCCATCGGGAGAGAGGCGATCTGACTGCTCACCTTGTCCAGGGAACTCTTGGCTGGTTCTGATGGTTTTTCGTTCTTTCCTGCATCAGGACCCGTTTTGGCAGGATCCAGGCTGGTGACCTCCATGTCTGAATTCGCCCTGCAAGAACATAGAAACTTAGAAAGGTGATGGCAGAAAAAGGCAGAGTGGTCCATCGAGTCTGCATGTTTGACGCTATTTACTGTTGACTGGCTCACTACCTCTGCTGGAAGTTCATTCCAAGCATCAACTACTCTTTCAGTAAAATAGTACTTTCTGAGATTAGTTTTGAACTTTCCTCCAGTTTAAAGTCAAGTCCCCGGGTTCTGGATTTTGGTTTCATATTGAAAATACTGCCCACCTGAAACTTATTCACCCCCTTGATGTATTTACAGCTTTCAATCAGATCTCCTCTTTCCCTTCTTTCCTCCAGACTATACATGATAGGTTCCTGAAGTCTCTCCCGAGGACCTCCTTCCTGCTGCTGGTAACCCCTGTAGTGATATAAAGATCTATATAGAGGAATCAGGACCTCCTTCCTCCTGCTGGTGACCCCTCTAGTGTGATAAAGATCTATATACAGGAATCAGGACCTCCTTCCTCCTGCCGGAGACCCCCTCTAGTGATATAAAGATCTATATAGGGGAATTTAGTGATATAAAGATCTATATAGGGGAATCAGAACCTCCTGCCCGAGACCCCTCTGGTGATATAAAGATCTATATAGAGGAATCAGAACCTCCTTCCTCCTGCTGGTGACCTCTCTAATAATATAAAGATCTATATAGAGGAATCAGAACCTCCTTCCTGCTAGTGATACCTCTAGTGATAAATCCTAAAATTCTATTCACTGGCCACACTGGTTGCTCATTTTGCAATCATCTGAAATTTAAGTCCCCTCAAGTCTTTTTCCTCTGAATTTCTGGCCAACACTGTACCCCCAATGTTGTACTCTCTCAAGGGATTCCTTTTCTCTAGGCACATTGTTTTATATTTAGAAACCTTGAACTGCAATCTCCACTTTTTTGGTGAAAGGATTGGTGCAAAGCTGAAGGTTTTGGTTATGTTAGTCGTGATGTTATCAGAAGGTCGGACATTGAGCTGTACAAAAGAGATGGTCTGCATCCCTCACACAAGGGCGCTGAGCTTCTTAGTATGGAATTTAGGAGTTTTTTGCACATGTATTTAAACTGAGAAATAGGGGCAGAAATGTAATTGTTGAGGAACGGGTCTGTCCCCAGCGGGCTGAAACAAATGTGAGGGTTTGTGTTGCCAAGGACTGGGCTGATGGGGTCACTTTAATTAATGTTTCTGGTGGTAAAAATAAAGTAGTAGGTCGCAGTGTTTGTCATGTCATTGCACTAATGCTCAGAGTTTAGGCAACAAGCTCTGTGAACTGACAGCTCTTATGTCTAGGGACAACTTGGACCTTGTTCCAGTTACAAATTATTTTATTATTATTATACAGGACTTATGTAGCGCCAACAGTTTGCTCAGCACTTCCAGCAGGAAGGAGGTCCTGATTCTTCTATATAGATCTTTATATCACTAGAGGGGTCACCGGCAAGAGGAAGGAGGTCCTGATTCCTCTATATAGATCTTTATATCACTAGAGGGGTCACCAGCAAGAGGAAGGAGGTCCTGATTCCTCTATATAGATCTTTATATCACTAGAGGGGTCACCAGCAGGAGGAAGGAGGTCCTGATTCCCCTATATAGATCTTTATATCACTAGAGGGGTCACCGGCAAGAGGAAGGAGGTCCTGATTCCTCTATATAGATCTTTATATCACTAGAGGGGGTCACCGGCAAGAGGAAGGAGGTCCTGATTCCTCTATATAGATCTTTATATTACTAGAGGGTCACCAGAGAAGGAAAGGAGGTCCTGATTCCTCTATACAGATCTTTACATCACTAGAGGGGATCACCAGCAGGAGGAAGGAGGTCCTGATTCCTCTATATAGATCTTTATATCACTAGAGGGGGTCACCGGCAAGAGGAAGGAGGTCCTGATTCCTCTATATAGATCTTTATATCACTAGAGGGGTCACCAGAGGAGGAAGGAGGTCCTGATTCCTCTATATAGATCTTTAGATCACTAGAGGGGGTCACCGGCAAGAGGAAGGAGGTCCTGATTCCTCTATATGGATCTTTATATTACTAGAGGGGTCACCAGAGAAGGAAGGAGGTCCTGATTCCTCTATATGGATCTTTATATCACTAGAGTGGTCACCGGCGGGAGGGAAGAGGTCCTGATTCCTCTATGTAGATCTTTATAATCACTAGAGGGGTCACCAGAGGAGGAAGGAGGTCCTGATTCCTCTATGTAGATCTTTATATCACTAGAGGGGTCACCGGCAGGAGGAAGGAGGTCCTGATTCCTCTATATAGATATTTATATCACTACAGGGGTCACCAGCAGGAGGAAGGAGGTTCTGATTTCCCTATATAGATCATTATATCACTAGAGGGGTCACCAGAGGGGGAAGGAGGTCCCGATTCCTCTATATAGATATTTATATCACTACAGGGGTCACTAGCAGGAGGAAGGAGGTCCTGATTCCTCTATATAGATCTTTATATCACTAGAGGGGTCACCGGCAGGAGGAAGGAGGTCCTGATTCCCCTATATAGAGCTTTATATCACTAGAGGGGTCTCCGGCAGGAGGAAGGAGGTCCTGATTCCTCTATATAGATATTTATATCACTACAGGGGTCACCAGCGGGAGGAAGGAGGTCCTCAGGAGAGACTTCAGGAACTTAACATGTACAGTCTGGAGGAAAGAAGGGAAAGAGGAGACCTGATTGAAACCTGCAAATACATCAAGGGGGGAACATCAAGGTTCAGGTGGGCAGTATTTTCAACATGAAACCAAACTCCAGAACCCGGAGACATTATTATTATTATACAGGATTTATATAGCGCCAACAGTTTGCTCAGCGCTTTACAATATAACGGGAAACAATACAACAACAATACAGTTCAATACAAGAGGGATAGGAGGGCCCTGCTCCTCGGAGCTTACAATCTAGGAGGGAGGGGCTAATGGTTCAAAGGGTAATAACTATGGGGGATGGACTGGTAGGAGGAGTAGAAGATTTCATTATTAGCTGAGGGCAGGATAGGCTTCCCTGAAGAGATAGGTTTTCAGAGATCGCCTAAAAGTGGGCAGAGTAGGCAATAGTCTGATAAATTGGGGTAGAGAGTTCCAGACGATGGGTGAAGCTCTGGAGAAGTCCTGGAGACAAGCATGGGAGGAGACGTGGTTCAAGGATTCAGATGACTGGGAAGTAACTATACAGGAAAGACAGTAGGGAAGAGGGGAAGTGGAGTTGCCATACATGTCAAAAATAGCATAAAGCTTTCATTCAAAAAAACAAAATGAAATATTGGAAACCCTCTGGGTCTACCTTCCAACCAGAGAGGGATCTTCCCTTAAAATTTCTGTAATATACAGACCCCCAGGAATGACTGACAAGATAACTCAAAGGGCAATGAAGGGGGAGGTTTTGATTATAGGTGACATCAACATGCCTGACATTAACTGGAATTCTCAAACTGCTATTACAAGCAGGAGAAGGGATGTAATGGAAGCACTGAATGGGCTCTCTCTAAAACAGTTAGTAAGAAGTCCAACCCGAGGTGATCATATTCAAGACCCAGTACTGACAAGAGGGGATCGACCCATGGCCATGGAGCAGATCCTCTGCTTCCTGCAACCTGATTGTTTACTCTCCTTGCACCAGGCCTTGGCTGATTTCTGTACTGTGACATTTGTATGTTGCATCCTCTTGTTTCGTTTGTCTTACAGTGAACCTTCTGTTTGCTTACCCTGCTTTGTTAAAAATCTTACATAAAGAATAACAAAAAAAAGAAAAAAAAAAAAAAAAAAAAAAAAAAAGGGGGGGGGGGGGTGTATCGACTGTCTAATGTTGAGGTGGGAGAAACTTTGGGTTCTGGTGATCACCAATGTCTTCGGTTTGACATTAAATTAAGAACTGAAAAATCATATACAAAAACAAATGTTTTAGATTTCAAAAAGACGAATTTTGCTAAAATGGGTGAATTTCTAAAAAAAAATGAATTGAAAGGTTGGAGTAAAAAGGACAGGCGTAAGTAATCAGTGGGCACTGGTAAAGTCTACCATCCTGGAGGCAACTAGATTATATTTCAGGCAAGTTAGTAAGAATAAACTTAAGAAAATAACAATACGGTTCACTAAAGAGATAATTAGGTTAGTAAAGGGGACAAAAAAAAAAAAAAGAAAAGAAAGTCAGCATATAGGAGATTCAAGGAAACAGGAGGTGTAGCTGACAGAGAAGAGTATAAAAACAGACAAAAGGAGGCCAAACACATTATCAGCGCTGCCAAAGCACAAAAAGAGGAGGAAATTGCGAAATCTATTACCACTTCCAGTCCGGACACTTTCACCCCCTTCCTGCCCCCAGGCCAATTTTCAGCTTTCAGCGCTGTCACATTTTGAATGACAATTGCTCGGTCATGCAACACTGTACCCATATGAATTTTTCAGCTTTTTTTTTTTATACAGATACAGGTTTATTTTGGTGGTATTTATTCACCACTGTGATTTTTATTTTTTTTGCTATATAAATGAAATGTCCAAAAATTTTGAAGAAAAAAAAAAAAAGTGTTTTTCTTATAAAATTTTGCAAATAAATAATCTTTCTTCATAAATCTTTGCCAAAATGTATTCAGAAATCTTTTTAGAATTAAGAAAAAAAAAAAAAAAGATAACCCAAATTAGTTTAGAACCAAAAATTTTAATTTTTCAAAATGTTTATTACATTTTTATATTATTTATGCTTTAAAAAAAACAAAAAAAAAAAACAAATACTGTCACACTAGCAGTACAGTGTCACCATAGTGACACTGTACTACTTGTGGGGGGGTGATGATTTTTTTTTTCTTTTTTTTACACTTATTGCTTTTACACCCATAAAGGCTTTAAAAGCAATCATTTCTCCTTCTTTCTGGCTGCATTCTTCTTTTTCTTATAAAATGTTGCAAATAAATCTTTCTTCAGAAATCTTTGCCAAAATGTATTCAGCTATCTGTTCTCCTTCTCTCTGGCTACATTCTTGCAGACATTGAGAAAAACTGTGCGAGCTGTGATTGGTCACAGCTTGTCACATGGTACCAGGCTGTTGTGAATAGCCTTGTACCATGTGATCTCTGTGATCATTCACAGATTTCACACGTAGTAAGCAATGATGTCAGGAAGTGACATCTTGTTTACGACTATTCATGTGATCACTGATTGGTCAATCAGTGATCACATGAATCTGGACCTCACACAGAGGTCCCGTACAGCGATTGGGACACGGCGGGCACTGATCGTGGTGCCGTGCGCTTCCAGGTAGCGTGCACAGTCAATGGATGCGGTGGGATATTTAGAAATGTCCACCCGCTCCAGAAGCACTCCAGTCCGGTCGTTTATGTACATGGGCCGGAAGGGAAGAGGCAGGGGCGGACTGACCATTTGGGAACTCGGGCACTGCCCAAGGGCCCGGAGTCAGAAGGGGGCCCCATGAGATGCCCCTGATACCTTTTTTATAGGCTTTTTTGGGTGTGGTTTGAGTTTGGGCAAGGACACAGGGGCCCATGGACTCCTATTGCCCGGGGGTCCCATGAGTTGTCAGTCCACCCCTGGAAAGAGGTTAAAGGAGATAAACCTTTTTTGAGGTAAATTAGTGATAGAAAGAAAAAAATACGACGGGATCACTAAAATGACAACTGGGCACAACACTTAGGTTGTGGGAGACCTGGATGTAGCAAACCACTTAAACAATGACTTTTGTTCAGTCTTCTCAGAAATAAATTATACTAACAATAATAAGTCGGGAAATCGTATTGGTTCTAGTAATGATGGTTCATTTTTAAGATTTCTGGAGACAGATGTAGCAGAGGAACTAACTCAGTTAAGCTGGCCATACACGTGTAGATTTCCAGACAAGAATATTCATAAGAAAAGTTGTATGAAAATGTTTTGAACATTCAATGAATGGACGAACGTGGTTTGAAAGTTGTCTTTTACTTTTCACATTCGACTTTAAAATGAATGTCATTTTTGAACGATAACCACATACACTGGCCAAAAACTAGTTTGATCGAGAAAAGTTTTCCTTCCTGCCCCTTCGAATTTTCCCGTCACTGCTGTCAAAAATGAACATCGATTTGACCCCACTAACGATTAGAAAATCAAACTAATATTCTTGAAACGTAAATCCTTGAATGAAAATCTATACGACTATGACAAGCTTGAAAGATTTAAGGGCTTGCAAAGGCTCAAGTTTTTTTTTACGTTCATACATTTTATACATGAAGGTAAACAAAATCTTCTGTGTGCAGCAGTGCCCCCAGACCCCTCAATACTTACCTGAGCCTCATCGTGATCCAGTGAAGTGCACAGCAGCCTCAGCTGTCCTGGGTTTATCTTCTCATTGGCTGAGACAGCAAGCGGGAGCCATTGGCTTCCATTGCTGTCAATCACAGCCAGTCAGCCAATGAGGAGAGAGGGTGGAACCAAGCTGCAGCTCCATGTGTGAATGGACACACGGAGCAGTGGGTACCTCCATAGCAAGCTGCTTGGTGTGGGGGCACCCGACAGACAGGAGGAGCCAGGAGCGCCTACGGGGGATCCGAGAAGAGGAGGATCCAGGCTGCTCTGTGCAAAACCACCACAGCAGGTAAGTATAGACATGTTTATTATTTTACAAAATGAAAAAAAAAGTAGAAGGTTTAACAGCTTCACTGCCATGCTGCCTGAAGAATGAGGTGGGAGGTTGGGTGGGGAATGGGCTGGGCATTATACAACGGTCACATACCCATCATTATCCTGACATTCTCCATTCTTCTTCTCCTCTGCAGAGGATAACGCCATCACCGCCTCTTCAAGGATCCCACCATCTACAGAAAGGCAGACAACAGATATTATCAATACCAATCCGTTGGATTAATGGAAACAGCTGTTGTACCTCCAACCTGCCTCTCCCACCAGTCATGTGATTTGGTATAGTCTGGGAATGCAGGCCTGGGAGGATCTCCTGATTGGATGATGAGGCTGACCAATCGGGCTGACATTACACTGCTCCTCCACACATAACGGATCCTTCTGATGTTCCCATTGCCACATTACTAGTGCTGCCTGCCCCTCCTTCTTGTAGACTGTAAGCTCCTCTGTCAATGGCGGTCTACCCCAAAGCTGCCATTTATGGTACGATGCCTTACAGCCAATTCACACCAGTGCACAGCTGTAAAACGCAGATCCACAGACGGACATCTGAAGAACAATTTCCAAATGAATGAGGGAACAGGGATGTAGGCCCCTGCTGCGTGTAGAGTGTAAGCTCTTGTGGTGTCAGTGCATGCACCTTACAGTCTGTCACCTTCCTGGCTGGCTGTGCCACGGAGCACATTGCCTGGTAATGACATGCTTCTCGATGTTCCACAACCACACATGTGATTATCTGCACAGCAGAGTGTCTCCCCAGGGGGGTGGGGGCATTACCTGACTGTATCCCCGGGGCCCCTGGGTGACCCCTCCCAAATCTCTTATTATAGGCACCAGGTGCAGTGTGCAAGACTTACATCAGGTTCAATGTGGGCCCCCTGGGGCCCCATACTCTGTTAACTCTCCTCTCGCCAATCATTTAGTTGGACTGTAATTTAATATCCCAAGGTTATAATGAATCTATTTGCATGTTTTCTCCTAGTTGCTGCAGATACTTCCAGAGTCTGTGCCAAACAAAGGTCAAAGGCTGTTCATGCTGCTGGCTCTCACTGTCATTCAATAGAAATCCAGACATCTGATTGGATGCGCTACTAAATTGTATTGGTGTATGCAGTGATATGGGGGGGGGGGGGGGGGGGACATCTGGGCAGGTGCACACGGGGGTATACGGTCTATCTAGGATCTCTATGGTGTGCCCAGAGGGATCTCCCACATCGGAGATGGAGCGAAAGGCTGTCCGGGTTCATTTGAATAACTTTGAATTGGAGATCTGAGATTTTCCAGCAGTCAAATCAGCCTGATGGATGAGATGGTGTGATACTGACTGTGCTCCCCCCCCCCCATCATAAATCTGCCCATACACAGGTGTGTGCACCCCCCTTCACATAGGACAGGCTGTGGAGACCGTTCTGTATATATAGGGGACTTACCTGTATATACAGCATAGGGGCTCACAGCCTCATATGTGACATAACTGGGGTGGCAGCTCTGTATATAGCCCCCCCCAGACAGAGGTGCATTATGAGAAACTCGCAATAAGGGGAGCAGCACGGTGCATACAGGTACCCCCCAGACAGAGGTGCATTATGGTATAATCGTAGGGGGCGACAGCTTTGTATATAACCCCCCCCCCTAAACAGAAGTGCATTATAGGAAGGTCCTATGCATAACACTATAGGGCATGGCCGGATCTAGGGGGGTGCTGGGGGTGGACTATACCCCCCCCCCAGATTTTAGTTTTGCCCCCCCAAAGCCACTATGCTGCCCTAATCTGATACTTTCCGGCCCCAGTTTGACACGACACGGGCAGCTCTTCATATAGCCCCACCCCCCAAGCAGGAGTGCATTATGGGAAGATCCTATATATAACACTATAGGGTGGGGGCAGCTCTTCATATAGCCCCGCCCCCAGGCAGGAGTGCATTATGGGAAGATCCTATATATAACACTATAGGGTGGGGGCAGCTCTTCATTGCCCCCCCCCCCCCCAGGCAGAAGTGCATTATGGGAAGGTCCCATTTATACTCACCATGGGGGGGAGCAATTCTGCATATAGAGGGCCTTTCCTGAAGGGCGAGGTGTATTACGGGAAGGACCCATATATAACACTGTGGAGCTGATAGCTGTATATATAGGGGTTACCCCTCCCCCCCAGAGAGATTTATTATGGGAAGGTCCCATATATAACTCTATGGGGGGGGGGTGACAGCTCTGTATATGGGAGGTGTTTCCTATAGGAAGAGGTGCATTATGAGAATGTCCCATATATCACACTATGGAGGAGGGGACAACTCTGTATTAAGGCTCCCCCCAGCAGAGGTGCATTAAGGGGAGGTCCTATATATAAATCTATAAGGGGTGACAGTTCTGTATACAGGGTCCCCCCCAGGCAGAGGTGCATTATGGGAAGGTCCAATATATAACTTCATAGGGGGTGACAGCTCTGTATACAGGTCCCCCCCAGGCAGAGGTACAGTATGGGAAGGCCCCGGATATAACTTCATAGGGGGTGACAGCTCTGTATACAGCCCCCCCCCAGGTAGAGGTGCATTATGGGATGGTCCCATATATATATATATATATATATATATATAAAAATAACTTCATGGGGGGGTGACAGCTGTATACAGGTGTCCCCCCCCCCCCCAGGCAGAGGTGCAGTATGGGAAGGTCCCATATATATATAACTTCATAGGGGTGACAGCTGTATACAGGTCCCCCCCCCAGGCAGAGGTGCATTATGGTATAATCCTATGTACTCCCAGGAAGAGATGCATTATAGGAAGATCCCATATAGAACTCTGTAGAAGACCGGTCTGTACAGGGTTGGGGTATCTCACCCGCGGGCGGCTCTCCGGCCTCCTCCTCCCCGGACCTCCCGGTCTCTCGCTCCTCCTCGGCTCCGCTCCCCCCGGTCCGCTCTCCGGACTCCGCTGCAGCATCCTGCGCCACATCCATCAGCCGCTGCCTCCAGCTCGGGAATGTTCGGCAATCTCCGGAGAGGAACCGCTACCAGCCTATCACGGAGCCCGGCGTGTACGGGGCGGGGACTAAGCGGCCCGGAGAGGCTCTGACGGAAATTGCCGAGTAGAGCCGATAGCAGCCGAGGGAGTGTACCTCGGAGGGGCCGGATGTAGCAGCGGTTGTCATGGAGACAGAAGAACCGATCGATAGCGGTTGATAGGGACGCGAACCGTTACCAGGAGCCGCTGGTAGAGATGGAGGCGCCGGCCCCGGACTGTCTGCGCTGGACCTGCCGGGATGTTGGAGGCTGGATACGGCGGAAGGGCTTCCCGCAGTACGAGGTGAGGGGAAGACAAGCAGGGTCTGCTCTGCAGAAAAGGGGGGGCGGATTAATAAAAAGGCAATTGAAGCGGCAGCTCCAGGCCCCGACCCTAACATAGGCCCGGTGTAACGGCAAGATGAGTATCCCCATGAAGTTGTCTCCCTGACGCATCTCTGCAACAACGGTTTCAGAGACGGTCAAGCGATCACAGAGCTTCTGCATCCGACCTTTCACCGGCCGCACAAAAAGAACAGGCTGCGGCGGGGCTCATAGGAAGGCATGCTATCTCCGTCTACTGGTGTAAATACTCCTCTCACCGCTACACCCGGCTCTATGGGGGAGCGTTTCATAGTCACGTGACCCATCTCCCTTTCCCCTTACTTGCACTATATGGTCACGCCCATCAGCACCTAACTTGTACCCGCCCAGCGCTCCAGTGACGAATCAGGAAATGCGAATGCTCGCCCATAGTCTGTCCTGGGGGCGGTGCTCTACAGGTGAGAGGCTGCACCGGGCTGAGAGGGTCCTAGCCGGAAAACCGTGACATGCGCAGATGCGTTAGGGAGACATCTTCATGGGAGGACTCATCTTGCCGCTGCAGGGCTTCTAGAGGAGTTTTTAAGCTGTAAAAATGCTCTGAGGCTCCATGTACACGGGACACTTCTGAATGATGGAAACTGCTGGAAAACGGAGGTTCAAAAACGTCTGTTTTGCTGCGTTTGCATTTAAAAGCATTTTTTTAACCCCTCGCCTACAGGGCACTTCTACCCCTTCCTGCCCCCAGGCCAATTTCCAGCTTTCAGCGCTGTTGCACTTTGAATGACAATTGCGCAGTCATGCAACACTGTACCCATACAAAATTTTTATCTTTTTTTTGTGACAGATAGAGCTTTATTTTGGTGGTATTTAATCACCTCGGGGTTTTTTATTGTTTGTTAAACCAAAAACCACTGAAAAATTTTTTTAAAAAAAGTTTTTTCTTAGTATTTGTTATAAAATGTTGTAAATAAGTGATTTTTCTCTTTCACTGATGTGCGCTAATGAGGCTGCAGTGATGGGCACTGATAGGCTGCACTGATGAGGAGGTACTTATAGGCTGCACTGATGGGCATTGACAGGCAGCACTGATAGGTGGCACTGAAAGGCAGCTCATATGGGCACTGATATGTGGCATTGATGTGCACTGGTAGGCACTGATATGTGGCACTGTTGGACACTGACAGGTGGCACTGCTGGGGCTACACTGATCATCAGGGCACACTGATCATCAGGACACTGATGATCAGTGTACATGTCCCCTCCGCAGAATGCCGATTACCGGCTCTCCTCTCGAGCTGTCAGCATGACAGCTCGAGAGGAGAGAAATGCCGATAGGCGGCATTTCCGTTTACATATGATCAGCTGTGATTGGACACAGCTGATCACATGACCAAGCCAACATCTTCGGCTCTTTCAGTGGATCGGTGATCCGATGTGGCCGAGGGACACAGCGCAGTGCCGATCGCTGAGCGCTTAGAATGGGAGGACGTCATCCCAGAATGAAAGAACCGCCTTATGTCCGTCATATTACTATATGGCGGGCGGGAGGTGGTTAAAGATAAGCACAGGAGAACCTCCCAAATGCCCAGAATGCACTGAAAAGTTGTAAAATATTAACTATTTCAAACTGTTAAAGAGAAATACAGAGAGTAGAAGCAAAGACAGCAGTATGTGTTGAGATTAGCTTAGGTGTGAGTTGCTCATTAACATTTCTTTTGTTTCCAAGGATGGGAAAGGTGTCTGGTGGAGGGAGTCATTAAGGCCACCTGGCAGGGTGTCTTCATGAGGAATTTGAGGTGTGAATGGTCATTAACATATCTTTTGTTTCCAAGGGTGGGAGAGGTCTGAGGTGTGAATTGGTCAGTACAATGTGTGACAAGCTTGGTAGGAACATCCTGTGTTCAGTGTTTTGTCCATTTGAGTACCTTGAAAACACTTTGCATGCATTTTTCATGATGAAAAAAGGCTCCGGACAGCATCAGTAACTGGCAGAGTTAAAAAAAAAATTCAAATGCAAACGCTTATAAACGCGTTTAGACGCGTGTAGCCGTGTTTACAAGCGTTTTGCGTTTGAAACGCTGATAAAATCAACATCTGAACGCAAGTTGTTGCATTAAAAAAAATGACGATGTGTATATGGACACATAGGAAAACATTAGGGAGAGATCAGGAGATGCTGAAAAAACGCTGAACGGCTCCTAAACGTGAGTTTATCAGCTGCGGTGTACATGGACCCTAAGGCTCCATGTACATGGGACACTTTTGAATGATGGAAACTGCTGGAAACGGAGGTTAAAAAAAAGTCTGTTTTGCCACATTTGCGTTTAGAAGCGTTTTTTAAAGATAACCTCAGACTGCACTGAAAAACAGTAAATAATTAACTATTTCAGACATTTTGAGAGAAATAGAGAGAGCAGAAGCAGAGAGAGCAGTATGTGTTGAGATTACCTGTATTTTTTTTTCCTGTGGTGTTTGGATGTGTTCCGGCTCATTTCTGTACAGAAATTATTGCAGCAGTGTCTAACATATTTTCTTTCATGCGAAACCTCAAAGTATGGTGTACCGGGTCCATTTGAGTACCAGGAAAACGCTTTCCATGCATTTTTCATGATGAAAAAAGGCTCTGGAAATCGAAGAGTTAAAATAAATTTTCAAACGCTTATAAACGCGGTTAGCTGTGTTTACAAGGGTTTGGCGTTGGAAACAGTGATAAAATCTACTCCTGAACGCAAGTTTTCTGCGTAAAAAAAAAAAAAAAACGACTGTAAACTCAACTGCCTGTAAATGACGATGTGTACATGGACACATAGGAAAACATTAGGGAGAGTTCAGGGGCTGCTGAAAAAAAATCCTGAACAGCTCCTGAACGTCAGTTTATCAGCTGCAGTGTACATGAGCTGTAAAGTGTGGCTGCACCAGGCTGAGAGGGTCCTAGCCAGCGCCGCCTGAACGTCTGAGCCCTCACGCACACGGGGCGTTTTGATAACGCTGGTAACATTAGCTGTGTAAAGTCACATTAAAAACTAGAGGTTTTTTTTTAGCCGTTTTGCATTAGCGTTGAGCGGCATTTTACCGCGATTAGCAGCGTTTTTCCACGTTTGCGATTGTTTTTTTTTTTTTTTACCAAAAAATATCTTTTTTGGTAAAAAAAACCCGCCGGTTTCCAGCCAAAAAACGTTGATTCCAGTCTATGTGTGTATGGACACATAGGATAACATGCTGGGGGGGTTTACTGGCTGTAGAAAAAAACATCAAAAGCCAAAAACAGCCGCTGTAAAAACGTCCGTGTGCATAGGACTAACACTGAAAAGCTCGGTAAACTGCGGCAAACCAGCGTTTTTGGACTTTTTTTTTTTACCAGAGAAAAAAAATTTTTTTTGCTTAAAAAAATACGAAAAACAACGGCAAAACGCTAAAAAAACTTAAGTTTTTAACGTAACTTTACACAGCTAACGTTACCAACGTTATTAAAACACCTCGTGTGCATGGAGCCTTAGCTGTCACTTTCCCTGGAGCTAAAGGAAACATTGTTTCTTTAATCTCAGAAAAACACACTAAAAGGAAACATTGTTTCTTTTGGAAATAAACTAAAAGGAAACTTTCTTTCTTTTAGCTGGGGGAAGTGCCTCTAGTGCCCCGCTGACAAACCCCACCCACCACCTCTACACCCTGAGCACCGCTCAGGCGCAGAATGGGCAGAAGTTAGGCACAAAACTGAACCCAGGATGCTCAATCAGGCCATGCTTGTCCCACCAACGCCCCGCTCTGCCTCCCCCAATTTCATCATAGCTATCAAATCCCGCCCACCACACTTAGTAGTAAGCACTGCACCTTGAGAGAATATGGGCGGGGATTCTACTTTGTAGCATCCTGATAAGCCATCTCTGGCTGACAAGGATGAAGAGACCGGACGGAGTGTCAAGCTCCACCCCCCTCCACCACTAGATGTGCTGAGTAGTGAGGTGATGGGTGCACCAATAGAAGGGAGACCACCTACTCACCCCCCCAACAGAAGCTCATAATACAAGACATCCTGAGCCCCTCACCCCCTCTGTCTCTAACCTCCCCTCTCTTACCCCTCTCTAAATAGAAACTCGCAATAGAAGACATACTGACCACCCCTCCCCATTGTTCTCACCCCCCTCACTTTACCTCTCACCCCCCCTCCCTCCCCCTCTTACTCCCCTCCCCTCTCTTTCTTTCCCTCTCACCTCCCCATTGCTCTCACCCCTTCACTTCCCCTCTTTCTCACCTTCACCCACTTCTCGCACTCCCTCCTTCTTGCGGTCACCCCCCTTTCTCTCTCCCCCTTTCTCTCTCCCCCTCCCCCCTTTTCTCTCTCTCTCTCTCCCCCCTCCCCCTTTCTCTCTCTCCCTCCCCCTCCCCTCTCCCCCCTCCTCCCCCCCTTTCTTTCTCTCCCCCCCCCCCCCCCTTCTCTCTCTCACCCCTCCTCTATTTAATTTAAATTGTTTTAGCAAAAAAAAAGTGTTTTCATTTTATTCATTTCCATAAAAAGGCTCACCAAAATCCTCGGCACCTGTGTGTAACTCTCAATCTGTCATTCCAGGTGTGCTTCACTGACAATGGAATCAATGGCCGCAAACTCATCCATGTCACATGTTCCACCCTACCACATATTGGAGTCACCGACTTCCAGGACATGAAGGTGAGTCTGGAACCATCATACATACAGACCATAAAGCGGCTTCATCCGTGTGGTTGTTGCTTTTTCTGTTTCATAAATCTGTGATTGTAAAAGTCATTTTCTGTTCTTTCCACAGACCATCGCCAAACTGGTGAGAGATCTGTTGGGTGTCAGCGAGCCGGCCTTTAGCCGCAGCATATCTCTGCCCCGGAGGGATAACATGGGGCTCTTCCTGGAGCAAAAATCGCAGACTGGAGTTAACCATGATCTGCTCACCTACAACCAATTTGTTCTGGAGCAGGTCCTGTGACCAGAGAGCATTCTTCTACCTCCATCACTAACATCCAATTCATCCTGGAGCATGGCTTGTGATCAGAGACCATTCCCCTACCTCCATCACCAACATCCAATTCATCCTGGAGCAGGGCTTGTGATCAGAGACCATTTCCCTACCTCCATCACCAACATCCAATTCATCCTGGAGCATGGCCTGTGATCAGAGACCATTCCCCTACCTCCATCACCAACATCCAATTCATCCTGGAGCAGGGCCTGTGACCAGAGAGCATTCTTCTGTCTCCATCACCAATATCCAATTCATCTTGGAGCAGGGCCTGTGATCAGAGGCCATTCCCTTACCTCCATCACCAACATCCAATTCATCCTGGAGTAGGACCTGTGATCAGAGACCATACCCCTACCTCCATCACCAACATCCAATTCATCCTGGAGCAGGGCTTGTGATCAGAGACCATTCCCCTACTTCCATCACCAACATCCAATTCATCCTGGAGCAGGGCCTGTGCAAGAGACCATTCCCCTACCTCCATCACCAACATCCAATTCGTCCTGGAGTATGGCCTGTGATCAGAGACCATTCCCCTACTTCCATCACCAACATCCAATTCATCTTGGAGCAGGGCCTGTGATCAGAGACCATTCCCCTACCTCCATCACCAACATCCAATTCATCCTGGAGCAGGGCCTGTGATCAGAGACCATTCCCCTACCTCCATCACCAACATCCAATTCAACCTGGAGCAGGGCCTGTGATGAGAGGCCATTCCCCTACCTCCATCACCAACATCCAATTCATCCTGGAGCACGGCTTGTGATCAGAGGCCATTCCCCTACCTCCATCACCAACATCCAATTCATCTTGGAGCAGAGCCTGTGATCAGAGGCCATTCCCCTACCTCCATCACCAACATCCAATTCATCTTGGAGCAGGGCCTGTGATCAGAGACCATTCCCCTACCTCCATCACCAACATCCAATTCATCCTGGAGCAGAGCCTGTCATCAAAGACCATTTCCCTACCTCCATTACCAACATCCAATTCATTCTGGAGCAGGGCTTGTGATCAAAGACCATTTCCCTACCTCCATCACCAACATCCAATTCATCCTGGAGCAGGGCCTGTGATCAGAGACCATTCCCCTACCTCCATCACCAACATCCAATTCATCCTGGAGCATGGCCTGTGATCACAAACCATTCCCCTACCTCCATCACCAACATCCAATTCATCCTGGAGCAGGGCCTGTGATCAAAGACCATTTCCCTACCTCCATCACCAACATCCAATTCATCCTGGAGCAGGGCCTGTGATCAAAGACCATTTCCCTACCTCCATCACCAACATCCAATTCATCCTGGAGCAGAGCCTGTGATCAAAGACTATTCCCTCACCTACATCACCAACATCCAATTGATCTTGGAGCAAGTCCTGTAACCAGAGACAATTTTCCCACCTCCATTACCAATGATCACGCTCCCACTCCAGCCAATTGCTACCTAAATTTTTCGAATACACTCAGACCAACGAAAATAGGAAATGAATGCTGAAGATACAAAATTAATTCTAAAAACAAATCAGTTCAACATTACAAATATGAGAAATTGAAATTCCTCAATGAACAAATGCTTCCGATATGAAACAAAAGTTTCCAACGTGCACATGGCTACTATGGAATACGTGTAATATGTGTAGCGCTACCCCCTCAGGGGCCACTTGAAAATGCTTGTCCCCAGTGGCTGCCCTGACCTTGCAAGCCTCCTGACACCTCTGACACGGACACAATTTGAAATAATAATGCAAGAGACGCAATTCTATAGTAACATCTCCATATTAGGCTCGTTCAAAGAGAGTAGACCACAGAATGAAGGTTTAGGAGGTACATCCCTAGTCAATGGATAAAAGCAAAATACTGATAAAATGGAAATATCAAAATGGGTAACAGATTATACGGTCACAAATGTATGTTGTAACTATGTAACTGCAACACCAGCATCAAGAGGAGGAAGAAAAGACTTGTTAACTTAGCAGCTCCCTCTGGTCCACTGACATCACAATAGGGAATGCAAAGAATTAAGTAAATATATACAGTATACTCTGGTATAAATGGGTATAGACACCCCAACTTGAATAATAATAGCTTAGATGCAAAGAGGTCCCTTTACTAGAAATAGCAACTTGAGTCCTGAGATGTTTAAAGTTCCTGATGTTATACTAGCCATTGTCTGCTGCTAGCAATGGTGGGGCCCATATACAGTAATGAGTAATGGTAATTCAATGAAGATAACAGGCTGTGGTAAATGCTCAAAGCAAAGGTCTCTTGGTAACTGAGGTGTAAAGGTGTCTGTATGCAGTGTCTCCAGTGTTGTCAGAAAGAGGTTGGGTATCTGCCCGCACACCAATCCCACGGATAGCGTGGTCTCCTAGAAGAAGGGTTCTTGCACTGGCTCTTTGCTGTTTACAGAGAAGTGCAGAGTTACCACCTGTCAGCGCAGCAATCACAGATGACTGACTAAAGACTGAACAGTGATAATCCCAATGCAGAGAAGCTGATGCGATGGTGATCAGCGTCACTGCAGCGCTAAACTGGTATGCAGTGTCCCACAGTAGTAGCCAGCAATCTCTCTGGAGGAGAACGGCAACCTCCATGTTCAGCTCTGAATCCTGCACCAAGCGAGCGAGCCAGTTCCTTGCTGTAGAATATATCTGCTGTCCAGCCTCTCTCTGGTTCCTCAGCTCTCTGCTTCTTATAGTTCAATCAGCATTCAGAAATACAGTTTGTATTGGCTATACGACTACAGGTCCAAGATCCTCTGTGGGATGTACCTGTGAGATGTGTATGGAGTACCTGTAGTATGTATTGTATGTGTAATTCAGCAGAGACTTTCTTACAATAACCCAGACACAATAAAATGTTGTTAAAAGTTTACTGTGTTACATCTGTAACAGTTAAAAAAAATTATCAGGATCACACAGAACTGGGACAGATTTCTGGGTTTGTTAGTTGGTGGTACTGTAATAAATGTCCATGGCTTGGTACATATGTGTCCTGATTCAGACGTGTACTGCCGAATGCTGGCAGACAGAAGGTGGCACAGTGTGCCCAGATTATACAGTACTGTAATAAATGTCCATGGCATGGTATATATGTGTCCTGATCCAGATATGTACTGCTGGATGCTGGCAGACAGAAGGTGGCACAGTGTGCCCAGATTGTACAGTACTGTATATATGTCCATGGCTTGGTACATACAGTTGTGTTCAAAAATAATAGCCGTGTGTTGAAAAAAGTGAATAAAGCTGAAAATCCTTCTAATAGCTTTTATTTCCATCCACACAAATGCATTGGGAACACGACACATTCTATTCCAAATCAAAACATGAAGAAAAATACATCAAATTTGTGTTGTTCCTCTAAAAAAATTGAAGAAAAGTGAATATTAGACGGTTTAAAAAAATCGCAGTGTTTGTATTCTTCTTTACAAACTCAAACATTCACTATATAAACTGAAAAATGTTTGAAGATTTTGCTTTCCTTTGAATCACTTAATGAATATTTGGTTGTAGTCGCACTGTTTCTGAGAACTGCTGTACATCTGTGTTGCATGGAGTCACCCAACTTCTGGCCCCTGTGATCAGGTATTCCAGCCCAGGATGATTGGACGACATTCCACAGTTCTTCTCTATTTCTTGGTTTTGCCTCAGAAACGGCATTTTTGATGTCACCCCACAAGTTTTCTATTATTGGATTAAGATCCGGGGATTGGGCTGGCCACTCCATAACGTCAATCTTGTTGGTCTGGAACCAAGATGTTGCACGTTTACTGGTGTGTTTGGGGTCGTTGTCTTGTTGGAACACCCATTTCAAGGGCATTTCCTCTTCAGCATAAGGCAGCATGACCTCTTCAAGTATTCTGATGTATTCAAACTGATCCATGATCCCTGGTATGTGATAAATAGGCCCAACACCATAGTATGAGAAACATCCCCATATCATGATGCTTGCACCACCATCCTTCACTGTCTTCACAGTGTACTGTGGCTTGAATTCAGTGTTTGGGGGTCGTCTGACAAACTGTCTCCGGCCACTAGACCCAAAAAGAACAATCTTACTTTCATCAGTCCACAAAATGTTGCGCCATTTCTCTTTAGGCCAGTCAATGTGCTCTTTGGCAGATTGTAACCTCTTCAGCACAAGTCTTTTTTCCAACAGTGGGACTTTGCGGGGGCTTCTTGCAGATAGCTTGGCTTCACATAGGCGTCTTCTAATTGTAACAGTCCTCACAGGGAACGTCACACCTTCTTTCATCTTCCTGGAGCTGATTGTTGGCTGAGTCCGCGCCATTTTAGCTATTCTTCTATCCATTCCAATGGTAGTTTTTCGCTTTCTTCCACGTCTTTCAGGGGTTTGGTTGCCATTTTAAAGCATTTGTGATCATTTTAGCTGAGCAGCCGATCATTTTCTGCACTTCTTTATATGTTTTCCCCTCTCCAATCAACTTTTTAATCAAGGTACGCTGTTCTTCTGAACAATGTCTGGAATGACCCATTTTCCTCAGAATGTCAGAGAGAAATGCACTGTAACCAGCATGTACAACATTTGCAGCCTTCCTTCCTTAAATAAGGGCAATAATTGCCACCTCTTTTTTCAAAGAATGAATGACCTCACTAATAGAACTCCACACTGCTATTATTTTGAACACGCCCCTTTCAATTAGTGATTCAATGACACAGAATCAGCAGCATGCATGTCATGACTGTTGGGTCTGTTGGATTTCTATTACTCTACTACACCTGCTAGTAAATTATTTGCCATGTAGAAATATCATTTCTACCAAAAACAATGATTGATCCGGTTAGTGATGTCTGACTGCTATTATTTTGAACACAACTGTATGTGTCCTGATTCAGACATGTACTGCCGCATGCTGGCAGCCAGAAGGTGGCACAGTGTGCCCAGATTGTACAGTACTGTAATAAATGTCCATGACGTGGTACATATGTGTCCTGATTCAGACGTGTACTGCTGGATGCTGGCAGACAAAAGGTGGCACAGTGTGCCCAGATTGTACAGTACTGTATATATGTCCATGGCGTGGTACATATGTGCCCTCAGTCAGTAGAGGCATGCCCGCTGGGTGTCAGCTCGGAAGATGGTGCAATATAGAGAGGACAGCTGTGTTCGGAGTTTTGCGGCGCCTGCAAGGTGCTGACTCAGTGGAGTCTCCTTCATCTGGACATTGCTGAGATCAAACCTAGGAAACAGACTGCACAGGACACAGAGAGAAGTCACTGTAATGCATGTCATAGCTACAGTTGTGTCCAAAATTATTCAACCCCCAATGCTGTAAAGGGGTTTAGGGACTATAGTGTACATTTGGAATTGTATTCAGAATCAAATCCTACAAGGACGTTGTAACTACCCAAATGCAACTAAAATGACATCAATTGTTTATGTAATACAGTAGTAAATGGTTCTTATGTGGTTTCTTCATTGCCACAATTATTCAACCCCTTAAAGACTACCACTCTGAAGAACAGAGGTTCATACAGGTGCTTTCCATCAGGTATTGAAAACACCTGTGGATGTCACCGAGCAGCAATCAAGCATAATAAGCACCAATTAGGCAGCTTTAAAATGACTGTGATACTCAGCTCCTTCTAGACATTTACTGGTGTGGTTACAAACATGGTGAAGGCAAGAGAATGGTCCAGGAAGACAAGAGAAGAGGTGATTTCTCTTCACAGGAAGGGCAATGGCTATAAGAAGATTGCAAAGATGTTAAACATACCAAGAGACACCTTAGGGAAGCATCATTCGCAAATTCAAGGCAAAGGGCACTGTTGAAACGCTACCTGGTCGTGGCAGAAAGAAGATGCTGACTTCGACTGCTGTGCGCTACCTGAAGCGTAGAGTGGAGAGAAGTCCCCGTGTGACTGCTGAGGAACTGAGAAAAGATTTGTCAGATGTGGGTACAGAAGTTTCAGCCCAGACAATAAGACGCACACTGCGTAATGAAGGCCTCCGTGCCAGAACTCCCAGGCGTACCCCCTTGCTGTCTCCAAAGAATAAGAAGAGTCGACTGCAGTATGCCAAAAGCCATGTGGACAAACCACAAAAGTTGTGGGATAGTGTTCTGTGGACTGATGAAACAAAATTAGAACTGTTTGGGCCCATGGATCAACGCTATGTTTGGAGGAGGAAGAACAAGGCCTATGATGAAAAGAACACCTTGCCTACTGTGAAGCATGGTGGAGGGTCAATCATGCTTTGGGGCTGTTTTGCTTCTGCAGGTACAGGGAAGCTTCAGCGTGTGCAAGGTACCATGAATTCTCTTCAGTACCAGGAGATATTGGATGGAAACGTGATGCAGTCCGTCACACACCTGAGGCTTGGGAGACGTTGGACCTTTCAACAGGACAATGATCCCAAGCATACCTCCAAGTCCACTAGAGCATGGTTGCAGAGGAAAGGCTGGAACATTTTGGAGTGGCCATCGCAGTCACCAGACTTAAATCCGATTGAGAACCTCTGGTGGGACTTAAAGAAAGCAGTTGCAGTGCGCAAGCCTAAGAATGTGACTGAACTGGAGGCCTTTGCCCATGAAGAATGGGCGAAGATACCCGTAGATCGCTGCAAGACACTTGTGTCAAGCTATGCTTCACGTTTAAAAGCTGTTATAACTGTAAAAGGATGCTGTACTAAGTACTAAGATTGAATGTCACTTGGGGGTTGAATAAAACTGATAATGCTGTGAGCACAGAAAAGACATTTGTGGTTATTTCATTATAACTGTTATGTTATATTTGTCTGACCTACAAGTGCCTCTTTAATGTAAATGTAAGCAAGATGACTGAATGATCAAAAGCAATGTCAAACTGGCCAAAACACTCAATTTCAGTGGGGGTTGAATAATTTTGGACACAACTGTATGAATAGCATAGAGGGAGAATCTGATTGGTTATTATGGGCAACACAGAGAGTTCTTCAGTCACACCCCCAAACTGAAGATGCCCAAAGCTTCTTTATGTAAATGACAATCGTGACCCCGTCACACCGGCTCACACTCACCTGTCTACAGAAAGTGATGCTGCAAACGCTTGGCTCACAAAGTTGTCAGTTGTAAAGCCGTCTCGAAAGGAAGATTCCCTCGATATCGCCTGATGCTGGATGAGGCCATTCAGGATGCTCACGGCCTGGTCATGTGACAGATCATGTGACGTGCACAGATTGAGGACGGCGTATAGTGCAGGCTCTATGAAGCAGCTGACTATGCAAACTCCTCCTGGGGGGAACACACAGTTATCACATTATCTTACAGGACCACTAAATAAGTAGATGAATAAATCATCCCACATATGTAGAATCCCACTCGTCATCAGCCATATCAGGCACTGCGCCGTGTGAATGGTGAAGGCATACTGCCGTCTTAGGCCAAACAATGCAACAAAACGATAATGGGTGTAAGTTCTGTAGCTTTGGGGGTTATTTAATAAAACAGTAGTGTGCAAAACCTGGTGCAGCTCTGCATAGTAACCAATCAGCTTCCAGGTTTCACTGTCAAAGCTTAATCCATCAAGCTGAAGTTAGAAGCTGATTGGTTACTCGGCACAGCTGCACAGATTCTCCAGTTTTAGTAAATCTCCCCCCTTTGTGTTCAAGAATCCTGCTCCTCCAATATAAAATCAAGATCCTGATATTTAAAGCCCAACTCTGGGCAGAAAAAAGATGCATCCCGTGCAGTGGGGCTGCATCCGCACTGTAAGGGGTAATAGTTTGTTTTGTCCAGGAGAGAGGAGAAACAGTTTTACTTACTTGATCCTCCTCTCCCCTAGCAGATGGTGCTCCCCCATGATCGGGCAGTGGACTGTCCCACAGCCTACTCATGTACACAGCAGGGCTAGGGACTCCTCTCTGGTCTTGATGATGTCAGAACCCTAGACCCTAGGCATATTTAAGTGATGTCATGTGCAGATCGAAGTTCACACCTCCGATCTACACATGAATGAAATAGTAAATACAATGTACAGTAATAATACATTGTTACATTGTATTTTCTCAATGACACCCCCTGCATTTGCATTTTGATAGCTGCTCCTGTTGTGTATGACGAGGCTATTCCCGGCTGTCATTTTGACAGCTGTTAATTGCTGGTAATAGCGACAAGGGGAAAGGAGCTGGATGAAAGAGATGGGTCCTAAGAACTTTGTTGATGTTTTTTTTTTATAACACATCCCTTATGCTCAAAATCCTCAAGGGGATAAAGAGACTTTGCAATGAACAGACAAGGTGACAGGGTCTCTTTAAATCACAACAGCAAAAAGTATATCTGCAATGGCAGGACAGCTTCTGCATATACTGTATGAGTGGCTGTTTTGTGTGTGATGAACTCCTCCATCCACACCCCCAGAACCGTGATTGAGCTGTCACCAACAGTTCACAGTCAGCTGTCCGTGATCAGCGATCAGTGGAATGGGCTCCTGATGATGTCATTTCTGTGCAGCCAATTACAGTGCAACATGACGGGGAGCCCCTCTCCCTGATCTTCGGGCATCATGGTCCATTTAAAGCACCAGCAGGTGGGATTAATGCTTTTTCAGGATTATAAAGCTGAGTCCTCCAATGGTGAGTCTGGGTATTGTAAGGAATCTCTTACCTCCATCCTGGGGCTCCACAGGAATTGTGGTCCTCACAAGGGACTCATCCCTCAGTGTCTCAGTCAGGCTGACATATTGGTGACACTGTGGCCCGTCTTCTGTGGGATCACATTGGTACTCCGGCCTGATGACATTGCTGTGAGCAAGGAGCCCCGTCACCCTACCGGAGACACAGACACAAGATGGTGATGTACATGGTGGGTCATATACAATGTCAGAGATTTGGCCTCTATACAAAGTCCCCCTGTGGTCCTACCTGGGCAGCGGCATGGCAGACACCAGGCTGTAGACCACACACCACTCTGGCAGGTGACCCCGAATCTCTGCACACACGACAGACAGTTGTGATGGCAGACAACACAGGAAGACCATGTGAGCCCCTCTGACCAGCTTCACGTTGTCATAGAAACACTGAACACCTCGATCCTGGAGATCTCCTGTGAGGACAAGTGACACATCGGCTCCAAACTGCTCCGACACAACATGGAACCTCAATATTGCCACAGGAAAACTGGATCAACTTACGGAGGGTTTCCGGCCGGCGGGTGGATACACTGATGTCATCAGCATGAATGTCTGTCAGGTCAAGGAGACAACGGACCAGCTGCTTCCCCAGATGACCTCCACCAATGATGCCGACATGGAATCCCCGGGATATCTGCAAAGCCTGCCTGTGAGGGGACACAGAACCATTTTCAGTATTTAAGGCAGAAGCGGTTAATGTACCTGATATAGGTGCCTCGAGTGTGGCCCCTGACATCAGCAAAGGGCCACAAATAATAGCCAGTGAATGTTATGCTACAAAAAGCAGACATGTTATGGTAAACAGTCAATGGGAATTTCACAAGAGATGGTCAGAGACAACAAGAATGCTACAAGAGATGACCAGAGACAACAAGAATGCTACAAGAGATGGTCAGAGACAACAACAATGCTTCCAGAGATGGTCAGAGACAACAAGAATGCTTCCTGAGATGGTCAGAGACAACAAGAATGCTACCAGAGATGGCCAGAGACAACAAGAATTCTATAAGAGATGGTCAGCGACAGCAAGAATGCTATAAGAGATGGTCAGAGACAACGAGAACTCTACAAGAAATGGTCAGAGGCAATGAGAATGCTGCAAGAGAAGGTCAGAGACAAAGGAAATGCTACAAGAGATGGTCAGAAACAAGAAGAATGCTACAAGAGATGGTCTGAGACAATGGGAATGCTACAAGAGATGGCCTGAGACAAGAATGCTAAAAGTGATGGTCAAAGACAATGAGAACTCTACAAGAGATGGTCTGAGACAACAAGAATTGTACAAGAAATGGTCAGCAATAACACGAATGCTACAAGAAATGGAAGAGATGGCCAGAGACAACATGAATGCTAAAACAGATGGTCATAAACAATGAGAACTCTACAAGAGATGGTCTGAGACAACAAGAATTCTACATGAGAAGGTCAGAGATAACAAGAATGCTACAAGAGATGGTCAGAGACTACAGGCATACTATAGGAGATGACCAGAGACAACAAGAATGCTGCAAGAGAAGGTCAGAGACAAAGGAAATGCTACAAGAGATGGTCAGAAACAAGAAGAATGCTACAAGAGATGGTCAGAGACAATGAGAACTCTACAAGAGATGGTCTGAGACAACAAGAATTGTACAAGAAATGGTCAGTGATAACGGGAATGCTAGAAGAAATGGAAGAGATGGCCAGAGACAACATGAATGCTAAAACAGAAGGTCATAAACAATGAGAACTCTACAAGAGATGGTCAGAGACAACAAGAATGCTACAAGAGATGGCCAGAGACAACAAGAATGCTACAAGAGATGGTCAGAGACAACAAGAATGCTACAAGAGATGGTCAGAGACAACAAGAATGCTACAAGAGATGGTCAGAGACAACAAGAATGCTACAAGAGATGGTCAGAGACAACAAGAATGCTACAAGAGATGGTCAGAGACAACAAGAATGCTACCAGAGATGGCCAGAGACAACAAGAATGCTACCAGAGATGGCCAGAGACAACAGGAATATTACAAGAGATGGCCAGAGACAACAAGAATGCTACCAGAGATGGCCAGAGACAACAAGAATGTTACAAGAGATGGTCAGGGACAATGAGAACTCTACAAGAAAAGGTCATAGACAATGAGACTGCTGCAAGAGAAGGTCAGAGTCAAGGGAAATGCTACAAGAGATGGTCTGAGACAAGAAGAATGCTACAAGAGATGGTCCGAGACAAAGGGAATGCTACAAGAGATGGCCAGAGACAACAAGAATGCTAAAAGAGATGGTCAGAGACAATGAGAAATCTACAAGAGATGGTCTGAGACAACAAGAATTCTACAAGAAATGGTCAGATAATGGGGATGCTACAGGAAATGGAAGAGATGGTACGAGAAAATGAGAACTCTACAAGAGATGGTCAGAGACAACAAGAATGCTACAAGAGATGGTCAGAAACAATGAGAACTCTACAACAGATGGTCAAAGACAAAGAGAATTCTACAAGGGAAGGTCAGAGACAACAAGAATGCTACAAGAGATGGTCAGAGACTACAGGCGATGACCAGGGGCTGCAGACATGATATAGAAGTTTGGAGAATGTGGACATACTTCAGGAGGCTGTCATAGACTGGAGACATATTACATACTGTAAACCTGCTGGAGATTAAAGCCCCCTTAAAAATAACCTGAGCCATATTTAATATTTCTCTTGGCAAGATCCATTATAAAGAGATAACAGGGCCACACAATTAGTGCCAAACAGCAACTGTGGCAGGTTGGACACCAAGAATTTAGGTGTTGTCTGGAAACCAAATACAAAATACGTTTTCCAGTAATTGTCACTCTGGGAATCTTCCATGATGACATTATAAATTTGAGAGATGATCCCCACCTACATAATGGGACAGGAAGTAGTGCGTTCTAATATCCTTCCTCCACCACAGTGTCTCCTACATATCGATGTGTTCTAGGGAAGTGAGACTCCAGGGTGCTGTCATGGTGGATTCCTGGAAATGGGATTATCAAGACTTCAGATTTCCATTCACTTTCACAGCAGATAAAAAAGCCCAATTGTTGCCTTTTATATATTTATCTATTTTTAAAACAGCTAATGTACCTAAATCTGTCCTCATATCAGCCACACGTAATCCCACGTATAACAGGCTTTTAGAGGGAAGGGCAGAATTCTCAGCCAATCAGCCTCCGTCGCATTACTCACGTGTTAGCGGGGAACATTCTGACAGAAGGACAGAGCAGAGCGATGACTCCCCAGTGTGCTGTGACTCCCCTGCCAGGCCAAAATGCTTTTCTTAGTTTTGGGTGGAGTGAGGATTAGAACCCCTGTCAAGTCTTTACTGCTAACTGGGGCCCCCGACTGATTTCCCCCCTAGAAGTCTGATGGACGGTGTCTATGAAGATCTCACCAGGTACGAAGAAGCAGCTGGCAGAAGAAAACGGAATGAGCGCAGGTGTGTGTCATGAGATCCTGTCTCCGGGTCTTCAGCTTCACTAAACTCTGGTGCTGCACTGAGACTCCGGCCTCAAACTGGAGCGAGCCAAGCCCAACGATGATCTCCATGGGTGCTGGCACGGAGCTCTCTGGAAGGAAGAGGACAGGTTAGGAGAGGAACCTGCCTGTGTACAGATCTGCCCACACACCTATGAGGGGAACATCGTGGGTGCTTCACACGTTATTGCTGATCTCTGTTTGACTTATGTAATTCCTGTGTGATCTCTGTGTGACTCTTATCTAATTGCTGTATGACTTTTCAACAACCTTTGTGTGATCTCTATCTGACTGTTAAATGATCTTTGTGTGATCTTGGATGAGAACCTTCTTCCCTCAGCCAGAACACTGAAGATGGCACCAGGGGCGGACTGACAACTCATGGGGCCCCCGGGCAATAGGGGATCATGGGGCCCCTGTGTCCTTGCCCAAACTCAAAAAAGCCTATGAAAAAGGTACCAGGGGCATCTCATGGGGCCCCCTACTGACCCCGGCCCTCGGGCAGTGCCCGAGTTTCCAAATGGTCAGTCCGCCCCTGGATGGCACTATGGTGCTGCACTGAGACTCCAGCCTCAAACTGGAGCGAGCCGAGCCCAACGATGATCTCCATTTACAAAGAAATGAAGAGTCTAAAATTTGTATCATAGGCGTATTTTAAATGATAAAGACATGGGGTAAGGATGATCATGAAAAAAGTGAGGGATGAGCCCAGAACTACACGGGAGGAGCTTGTGAATTATCTCAAGGCAGTTGGGTTCACAGTCACCAAAACAACCATTGGTAACACAATATGCTGCCATGGATTGAAATCTTGCAATGCCCACAAGGTCCCACTCCTCAAGAAGGCACATGTACAGGCCCGTCTATAGATGGCCAATGAACATCTGAATGATGCAGAGAAGGATTGGGAGAAAGTTCTGTGGTCAGATGAGACCAAAATTGAGCTCTTTGGCATCAACTCGACTCGCCACATTTGGAGGAAGAGAGATGCTGACTATGACCCTAAGAACTCCATCCCTTTAGTCAAGCATGGAGGTGGAAACATGCTTTGGGGAAGTTTCTTTGCTAAAGGTACAGCCTGATTTTGCCGCATTGAGGGTCCAATGGACGGGGCCATGTATTGTAAGATCTTGGATGAGAACCTTCTTCCCTCAGCCAGAACACTGAAGATGGGTTGTGGATGGGTCTTCCAGCATGACAATGACCCAAAAATACCACCAAGGCAACAAAAGAGTAGCTCAAAAAGAAGCACATTAAGGTCATGGAGTGGCCTAGCCAGTCTCCAGACCTAAATCCTATAGAGAATTTATGGATGCAGCTGAACCTTTGAGTTGCCAAGCAACAGCCAAGAAACCATACAGTAGTTCTAAAGGTTCAAGGATTTTTTTACCTTCGTGTATTCTATGCATGAAGGTAAAAAACCTTCTGTGTGCAGCAGCTCCCCCAGCCCCCTCAATACTCACCTGAGCCTCACCGCGATCCAGCGATGTGAATGACACCCACATGGAAGAAAAATATATTTTAAAAATATTCTTCCCAAATATTATGACATATATTTGAAATACTACAATTTTGGCCGTATTCAACATATATATACACACACTGTAAGTTGAAATGCGTTTTTATTACAAAATATATGAAAAATATTTTTAACAATACATTTTCAAATATACTGTATATCTTTAAAAATACATTTAATCTAATTTACATTTTTGGAACGCATTTACAAATATATGTAAAAATGTCTTTTTTATAGATTAAAAAAAATCTGAAGAATATATTAAAAAAAAATGTTTTAAATATTTTTCATATATTTTTGTAATATATAAAAAATGCATTTCAACATGTATATTTAGTACGGCCAAAATTGTAGTAGTTCAAATATATGTCAATATATTTGGGAAGAGTATTAAAAAAAAAATATATATATATATATATATATATATATATATATGTGGACAGCTATATGTGGGCAGCCTCGGATGTTCCGGGTCTCTGCCTCCTCATTGGCTGAGACAGCAAGTGGGAGTCATTGGTTGTGACCCCCCTATATGATCTCTATGTGATAGGTGATTGGCTGTGACTCCTCCTATATGATCTCTATGCCATAGGTGATTGGCTGTGACCCCCCCCTCCTATATGATCTCTATGCCATAGGTGATTGGCTGTGACCCCCCCTCCTATATGATCTCTATGTCATAGGTGATTGGCTGTGACCCCCCCCCCCCCCCCCCCCTATATGATCTCTATGCCATAGGTGATTGGCTGTGATCCTCCCCCCAGTTCTTCACTATTCTCCCCTCTGGCTCCCAGAAGACCCCAGAATGCAATGCCCCCCACCCCAGGAATTGGGACCCCAAATATGTTCCAATAGCAGGCTCAGGGGCCCCTGAATGCCCTTTACTCCAGGAGTTTGGGTTGGGTTGTCACCTCATCCCTTTAAGCCCGAACACACACATGGATGACCCGGGTTCTGCGGCTCATTAAATGCAGATAAGGAACTAATTGGGTTTAATCAGCACCTTAACCAGCCCCAGACCCATTAATGTCATCCATGTGTTCGGGTTTAAAGGGATGAGGTGACAACCTAAGTTTGGGGCCCCATAGGGTTCCCCTATGGAAGGATCTGTCCTGGGGCCCCTGAATGTCCACTTCCCCTGGTGTTGGGGCCCCTAGATCTCCCCCCGGCGGACAGCCCCCGGTACCTGCTGTGGCTCTGCTGGGATTTGTAGTTCCTCACGGCTGAAGATTTGTAGTTTCACACGCGGCTTCCATAGCAACGACCCCTGACAACACACCGCCTGAAACACCCGCCCCCGAGAGGAAGAGCCATCTCCTACAGCCAATCCAAACAGAGCACTGGCAACGTGCCTTCCCCACTGTATCGCAGCTTCTCCCCGCCCCTTCCCATGTGGACATCACGTGTAGGAGAGATGATTGGCCGCCTGTCACAGCAGCTGGGCGCTGGAAGCAATGCCGGGAGGAGGCCGGGACGGCGGTTCCTTCATTCTCCTGATTGAACCGTCATTGTCCAACCGTCACTATTGTATCCTGCAATACGGGAAATCTACGGGCTCCTCCCACCCATCTCCTGACCCGACAGGCTCCTCCCACCTGTATCCAGCGCCTGACCCAACAGGCTCCTCCCATCCATCGCCAGACCCTACAGGCTCCTCCCACCCATCTCCATCACCTGACTCTATAGGCTCCTTCCACCCATTTCCATCACCTGACCCTACCGACTCCAACCTCCCATCGCCTGACTCTACTGGCTTCTCTCCCCTATCTCCATCACCTGACCCTACAGTCTCCTCCCACCTATCTCCATCGCCAGACCCTACCAACTCCTCCCTCCATCACCTGACCCTTCTGACTCCTCCCCACCCATCACCTGATCCTACAGGCTCCTCCCACCCATCTCCATCGCCTGACCCTACCGGCTCCTCCTCCCTATCGCTATTGTCTGATCCTACAGGCTCCTCCCATCCAACGCCTGACCCTACCTGCTCCTCCTACCCATCTCCAGCACCTGACCCTACCGACTCCTACTACCCATCTCCAGTACCTGACCCTACCGGCTCCTCCTACCCATCTCCAGCACCTGACCCTACCGACTCCTACTACCCATCTCCAGCACCTGACCCTACCGGCTCCTCCTACCCATCTCCAGTACCTGACCCGACAGACTCCCTGACCCGACAGACACGGAGGACACAGCGGAACACCAATCGCTGTACGGGACCTCTGTGCGAGGTTCCGATCATGTGCTCACGGATTGGCCAATCAGTGATCACATGAATAGTAGTAAACAAGATGTCACTTGCTGACATTGCTTACTATGCGTGAAATCTGTGAATGATCACAGAGATCATATAGTACAGGGCTATTCACAACAGCCTTGTACCAATAGACAAGCTGTGACCAATCACAGCTCTCACTGTATTTCTCAATGGCTGGAAGAATGCAGCCAGAGAGAAGGAGAAATGATTGCTTTTACAGCCTTTATGGGTGAAAAAAAAAAAATCTTCATCACCCCCCTTCCCCCCCCCCCCCAAGTAGTACAGTGTCGCTATGGTGACACTGTACTGCTAGGGTGACAGTATGTAAAAAAAAAAAAACACAAGTAAGAATGGTAAAAAAAAAAAAAATTTTGAACAATTATAATTTGTGGTTATAAACTAATTTAAGTTATCTTTTTTTTTTTTTTTACTAAAAAGATAAATGAATATGAATAGATTTTGGCCAATATTTATGAAGAAAGATTTATTTGAAAAACTTTATAAGAAAAACATTTTTTTTTTTCAAAATGTTTGGACTTTTTCATTTATATAGCAAAAAAAATAAAAATCCCAGTGGTGAATAAATACCACCAAAATAAAGCTTTATCTGTCTAAAAAAATATGGGTACAGTGTTGCATGACCGCGCAATTGTCAAAGTGTGATATCGCTGAAAGCTGAAAATTGGCCTGGACAGGAAGAGGGTGAAAGTGTCCGGACTGGAAGTGGTTAACCAACATAACGTTTCTGGTTGGTGAACCAGTGTGGGGTCTGGGGGTCCAATAGATAAAAGCTATCGAGTCACCACCAAACGGGCGGACTGACCATTTGGAAACTCGGGTACTGCCCGACAGCCCGGGGTCAGTAGGGGGCTCCATGAGATGCCCTGGTACCTTTCATAGGCTTTTTTGAGCTTGGGCAAGGACACAGGGGCCCCATGATCCCCTATTGCCCGAGGGCCCCATGAGTTGTCAGTCCGCCCCTGCCCCTGTGTCCTTGCCCAAACTCAAAAAAAGCCTATGAAAAAGGTACCAGGGGCATCTCATGGGGCCCCCTACTGACCCGAGTTTCCAAATGGTCAGTCCGCCCCTGGTATGACCTGTAGGGGTGGGAAGTGCCCGAGTTTCCAAATGGTCAGTCCACCCCTGCACAGGGGCCCCATGATCCCCTATTGCCCGAGGGCCTCATGAGTTGTCAGTCCGCCCCTGCCACCAAATATTTTTTTTTTATCTAAAGGTCACCCAGACTTTTTGTGTTAAGTGGCAAATAGTCAAGTATCTTCTGCCAACGACTTGCAGTATGAGGAACAAAGTTGGGTGCACCTACCACCCCTGTATTATTAGGAAATATGTGAAGGGATTGTTTAATGTGTGGTTTAGTGATGTGTCATATGCATTTGTTAAGAAGGACATGAAGAGTTCTGGAGAAGAAGGATGGAATCCCTGCGGGAATCATTTGCATGGTATTCAAGAACCTAGGGAGTATGTTTGTTCTAATGACTGCCATGTGGCCAAACCAAGAGAAGTTGTGGATGGTCCACATTTGTTGAGGTCCTCCTGGATGTAAAGCCAAAACCTATTTACAGGCGTACCTTGGTGTACGAACGCCTCGGTTAAGGTCATTTTCGGTTTATGAATGAAAATCCATTGAAAATAATGCCTCAGTTTATGAGTTTTTTTTCGCAATACGAAGTGTATGTCAGTGCCGATTTTTAAATGCAATTGCCAGCTTTTTTTTTTTCTACACTATAACTCACAGAATTAGTCCTCATGCACACGGGACATTTTTACAGCGGCTGTTTTTGGCTTTTGACGATTTTTTTCTACAGCCAGTAAACCCCCCAGCATGTTATCCTATGTGTCCATACACACAGACTGGAATCAGCGGTTTTTGGCTGGAAAAAAACCCAGGACTAGTGGGATTCTAGAGTTTTTTTTAGCTATAAAAACGCTCTAACGCTGGCAAACCGGCCTTTTTGAATGTTTTTTTTGAGCAAAAAAGAAAAAAAAAAACCCACGGCAAAAACGCCGCTAAACCCTAATGCAAAAACGCTAAAAAACCTCACATTTTTAACATGACTTTACACAGCTAACGTTACCAGCGTTATTAAAACGCTCCCTGTGCATGGAGCCTTAGCTGTCACTTTCCCCGGAGCTAAAGGAAACATTGTTTCTTTTATCTCGGAAACAAAGTAAAAGGAAACATTGTTTCTTTTGTAAAATTAACTAAAAGGAAACTTTCTTTTAGCTGGGGGAAGTGACAGCTGAATTTCTGAGCTATAGTGAAGAAAAAAAAAAGGCAGTAATTACATTTAAAAACCAGCACTGACCTATAGTGACAGCGACTTTTTTTTTTTTTACTTTTTTCTGACCTCCGGAACGGATTAATTGTTTTTCAGTGCATTCCTATGGGAAACCGCGTTTCGGTTTACGAATTTTTCGCAATACGAAACGTCCCGGAGAACTCATTAAATTCGTAAATGCCTGTGTATAGTTTTAGATGGTACAGGGAAGGGTTGGACCCCTGTGTGTCCCCCTGGTGAGATTTCTCTTCAGTTCCTGTCTTGGTGGTAAGAGGCAACAAAATCTATTGACACGGGCAGGGGCGGACTGACAACTCATGGGGCCCCCTGGCAATAGGGGATCATGGGCCCCTGTGTCCTTGCCCAAACTCAAAAAAGCCTATGAAAAAGGTACCAGGGGCATCTCATGGGGCCCCCTACTGACCCCAGGCCCTCGGGCAGTGCCCGAGTTTCCAAATGGTCAGTTCGCCCCTGGACACGGGTGACGGAATTGTACATCCTTATGTGACCATTAGGCAGGCCATAGACGGGGTGAAAACCGTCTGTTTTTTTTTTTTTTTTTTTTTAAATGAAAAATCGGCCTTTCAATCGGCTGACGTTACCATTGGTAACAAAAAAAAAAAAAAAAAAAAAAATTTGCTGATTTTCGTCCCGTCTATGGCCGGCAAATATAATAGCAGTGTCCCTGCAGAGAGCTCCGCTATTATATTTGGCATTGAAAAGTATAGCAAAGTTGCAACATTATATCTATTTGTATCCAAATAGAAATATCTGTATCCGAAATGGATACAAATAGATACAATGTTGCAACTTTGCTATACTTTTCAATGCCAAATATAATAGCGGAGCTCTCTGCAGGGACACAGCTATTATTTTTGACATTTAAAAGTATTGCGGTTGCAACATTGTATCTATTTGTATCCGGATAGAAACATCTGTATCCGAAATGGATACAAATAGATACAGCTGTTCTTTTTCCTTGTCTTCATCTTCTTCTTTTCCTTCTTCTTGCAGGTCACAGCTCATGCGCATTTTTTTTAAATCGGTAAAAAGATCGGCTGATTTGCCCATCATTGCCGTGAAAATCAGCCGATCGGCAAAATCGGACGTTTTTTTCCCAACATAACCAATTAAAAGAAGTGTGTCAAAATCACGAAAAACGACCGACAAATTCACCCACTAACGATCCGAAAATCAGCCGATTATCCTTTCGGACTAATTTTCGCCCGATTTTCGACCCATCTATGGCCTGCTTTACCCCTACTCATGGCTGCTATCCTTTCTCGTTAGGAAGTTTTTTAAGACATTAATAAAACCAGACGAAACTGGAAAGATCTGTTTACATGTTGGTGCCCAGTGCTCCAGAATGAAATGAAAACGAGAAGCGCACCAACCTTGCGCATTACCTCAGTAACCAAAATTTATTAATTGTAAAAAATATACTCACAAACAGCGAATAAAATATAGCTCTGAGGAAGAAGGGACCCCCTTCGAAACGCGTCAGCTGTACTGAACACCCACTCCCCTGATGGGACTCATGTTAGCTTCAAGTCCCTGTGAGGACTTACATGCCTGATTTTATTCACTGTTTGTGAGTATATTTTTTACAATTAATAAATTTTGGTTACTGAGGTAATGCGCAAGGTTGGTGCGCTTCTCGTTTTCATTTCATTCTGCAGTGTTGATTGGGCTTCCCCAGCCTTGTTTTGGAGCCGCACAGCCCTTTATGCATTGGTGGATGATCCCTCCAGGCCTGGTTCCATCTGTTCGCCACCTGTCTGAGCCCTAGAGCGCAGGAGAATTTGTTTTTGATCTACTGTGGTGCCCAGTGCTCGCCATGCTGCCGAAGTAATCACCCCATGACAGCATACACAAGCAGACCACCACTCTTCCCAATCAGGGGATTCACAGTCCAATACCAGGTAGATCATCTGAGATTACAGTCTTCGTGCCACAGCCAAGATCTGATATAAATCAACTAGATAAGAGATCAGCAAACACATATTATAAATAATAAAGATAAGTTTATTAATAGGTTTATTATTGGTCCATCGGGTGGGGGAGGAGCTCCTGGACGGCTGCGCTCAATTCTTCCAGCGGATTTGCTGTAATCACACAAAGGACAATTGCGTCAATGAAAAAGATTCCAGTCATATATACCAGTGTTTCCCAATATTTTTTCAGTCAAGGCACCTTTTAAAATTATGGACAGTCCCTGAGGCACCCCATTCTAAAATGTAAAAAACTATTCTAACAGTTGTATATAATGCAGCAACATCCACACATGTAGGACACCCAACATTAGAGGTGATTTATTCTTCCAAAGCAAATGCACTTTTGCACACTGGTACTGACTAGTATTCCAATGTTTCTCTTCTCCCTCAATTTTTCTCCATCACTGAGCTAATGTGACCCCAGAACTGATGGAGAGGGGCAGGGGAAGGTCAAACTAGGATGCTGTGCAGGCAGCTGACATCCTCCTTATCAACTGATGATGTCATTGGTTGTAAGGATGCCGGAGGCTAGAAGGTGGTAATGGTGCACAATGAAAACCTGTGGCTTTGTGTAACTAAAAGGCAGGCTTGTTCCACCCGCTGGTTTGTATACAAGTTTTGGGCAATTTTTAGACATTTTGCCAAGGCACCCCTGAAGAAACCTCAAGGCACCCCAGTTGAGAAAGGCTGATTATATACTAATCCAAAGACATACACTATAAGGCCAAAAGTCTGTGTAACCCTGATCATCACACCTATATGTGTTTGTTGGACAGCTAGTTCCAAAACCATGGCCATTAATATGACATTGGACTCTTTGTGACTTCAGCATCCTCTACACAAAATTTTAGAGCATCTGTGGGAACCTGTGCCCATTTGAGGTGGGGTACTGATGTTGGATGGGAAGATCTGGCTCACGATGAAATAGTAAATACAATGTAATAATACATTGTTACATTGCAATTTTCCAGTGACACCTTTAGACTATCTGCATTTCATTTTACAAAGGAGAGCCTGCATTTTGATAGCTGCTCCTGTTGTGTACTACAAGGCAATTCCCGGCTGTCATCTTGACAGCCGTTAATTGCTGGGCATCCATGCAAAGATAGTTAGAACAGTGTTTCTCAACCTTTTTTCAGTCCCGAGCCACCCTTTAAAATTATGGACAGTCCCGAGCCACCCTTTAAAATTATGGACAGTCCCGAGCCACCCTTTAAAATTATGGACAGTCCCGAGGCACCCTTTAAAATTATGGACAGTCCCGAGCCACCCTTTAAAATTATAGACAGTCCCGAGGCATTGATGGAAAGGGACAGGCAAGGGTCAAACTAGGATGCTGTGCAGGCAGTTGACATCCTCCTTATCAACTGATGATGTCATTGGTTGTCAGGATGTCGGCGGCTAGAAGGTCGTAATGGTGCACAATGAAAACCTGTGGCTTTGTGTAACTAAAAGGCCGGCTTGTTCCACCCGCTGGCTTGTAAACAAGTTTTGGGCACTTTTTAGTAATTTTGCCAAGGCACCCCTGAAGAACCTCAAGGCACCACTGAACAACCTCAAGGCACCCCAGGGTCCTGGGCACCCTGGTTGAGAAAGGCTGAGTTAGACCATCCTGCATGCTTACAGCAAACATGTCATCAGCTCAGTTCTGTGTGTAGCTCTACTCACTGTGTTGTTGAGAATCATGTCGATTTTGTCCTCCTCTGGAGATCCGCGATCCACCTTGCAGCGATAAACCATCAATTGCTGGCGGTCCTTCAAGTCTTTGTATGTCTGCCAGGAAGAACCAAAAGGGTCACCACATATTTCTGTCCACTTCTTGCAGATCATCAATGCACCCAGAAATAGGGGAGCCTATACTGCATTACAGAGCACTGTGTCCTCCCACTGACCTCCATCCCGGCACAGAGAAAGAACTCCTCGCAGGGCAGGCATGGTGGTGACACTGAACAAGTACCCCAGAATTCAGTGAAGGCCATAATGGAGTAATGAGCGGGGGGGACAGATCTAGGCGATATCATACACACAGGCAGTGTAGTGTCTTATATACTGTATATTCTCCATTGAGTAGAGGCTACTAAAGGTGGATAGGATTGTAACAGAACCGGACCCAGACCGCACTTGGGTATCTCCGATAGACTCCAGCTTCCCTGTCCAAACACAAATCCCCGGACACCATCGCTGATCATGCAGGAAATAGACATCACCAGACTCTTCTTAAGACAGGAAGCCAACTGCTTTATTTTTACACAAACACAAGATATATACACAGGGCAGGGAAATACAACCAGGAACAGGAAACACATCATCGGGCCCTCCCAGCAAGGGGAAGGGCTGCAGGAAACACCCCCCACCAAACCAAGACACAGAACAATGGGATGCAGCACATGGCAGTGAACAATGAACAATGGAACAACCACATGGCAGTGAACAATGGACAACCCCCACACCCAGGGATGGACTGACAACTCATGGGGCCCCTGGGCAATAGGGGATCATGGGGCCCCTGTGTCCTTGCCCAAACTCAAAAAAGCCTATGAAAAAGGTACCAGGGGCATCTCAAGGGGTCCCCTGACCCAGGGCCCTCGGGCAGTACCCGAGTTTTTCCAAATGGTCAGTCCACCCCTGCCCACACCCATATTAGAACATATCACCCTGTACCCCCTAACAGGCACAGGGTTCCTTAGACATAAGAGGGATTTGGGAAGATGATACAGGGGTCCCCCCACCCCCAAAAGTCACTCCCGTCACAAGGATCACTCTGTATAAAAATATAAATGGTCTATATAGAAAACCTGGTGCAAAATTTTTCACATTAAAAGGTCAGTGGGATTGACAAGGGGGCACTCTGTGCCCAAAGGAAAAGAGGCTTAACCTCAATATATGGAAAGGCTTATTTACAGTAAGAGCTGTGAAAAGGTGTAATAGACTGTCTCTTAGAAGCTAGCTGTAAGCTTAAAGGATACGTTCACCGTTGGGAACATGTTACATATTCTACCCATTTTTAGGCTGGAACATATTACCACATCTGCTGCCCTCTTTCCCTTTGTCAGCAGTACCGGGAGAAGTTCCCCGTACTGGCTGTCACTTTCTGAAACCAGCACGGCCATGCGGGGCTCTGCCCACACGGCTGCATCATTCATTCACGAGTTCTGTGAATGAATAAACTACAAATCCTGACATCCTTTTCGGATGTCAGCTTGTAGTTCTCAATGAACTACCATGGCACTGTTGGGTTCTGTGGTAATTCATCGAGTCTTCCGGTCGGTGTAAAACGGTCTGCTCCTACAAGCACACAGATTATACTGACAGTCTGCAGGAGATCTGCATGACACCAGCAATCTGCTGATCGCTGGTGAAATGCTTTACAGCACAGGTGTCAAAATAGCGGCCCTCCAGCTGTTGCCAAACTTCAAGTCCCATGAGACATTGCAAGACTGACAGTTACAAGCATGACTCCCAAAGGTAGAGGCATGATGGGATTTGTAGTTTCGCAACAGCTGAAAAGCCGCCAGTTTGACACCCCTACTTTACAGGCTCAAAAAAAAAAAAATGCACAATTGTTTTATTTTTACCTGCAAAAAAATGGGCATTTATTATTTATTTTTAAAAAGTGATCTTTTCCTATAAAGACTGGATATGTTTCTAAATACACAAAACCAGGGGCGGACTGACAACTCATGGGGCCCCCAGGCAATAGGGGATCATGGGGCCCCTGTTCCCTTGCCCAAACTCAAAAAAGCCTATGAAAAAGGTACCAGGGGCATCTCATGGGGCCCCCTACTGACACCGGGCCCTCGGGCATTGCCCGAGTTTTCAAATGGTCACTCCACCCCTGAACAAAACACAACTATTAATATAAAATACAGCATATAGAATTGTTGGTACAAAGAGTATCCAATTGCTTTAGGTCAGGGGTGTCAAACTGCGGCCCTCCAGCTGCTGCAGAACTACTAATCCCTTGAGGCATTGCAGGACTGACAGTTGAAAGCATCACTTCCAAAGGCAGAGGCATGATGGGCATGAATATCGGCCGATTTTTCGTGCGGACAAAAATTCAGCCGATAAACGACAAGTCTATGGCCTGCACTAGTCTGAGAAATAAGGAGATTCATTAATTAGAAACTTCACTGAGGAAATCAACCACGGTGAAGAAAGGTTCAAAACCGGGGCAGACTGATTATTTGGAAACTCGGGCACTGCCCGAGGGCCCGGGGTCAGTAGGGGGCCCCATGAGATGCCCCTGGTACCTTTTTCATAGGCTTTTTTGAGTTTGGGCAAGGACACAGGGGCCCCATGATCCCCTATTGCCTGGGGGCCCCATGAGTTGTCAGTCCGCCCCTGGTCCACACACACTCTTCAGCTTCCACCTGTTGGCAAACTGGACACTGAGCAGGATGCATTGGGAGAATGACATATTCCCATCCCTCAGCTGGAGAAGTGTCAGTCCCTCTACTGGTTCATCTATAAAATGACAAGTCCTGGTACTCCTGCTTGCACTATTTACTCACATCGATCACAACGTCATGGCACTTGTACTTTGTCCCTAGTGATATTTTGGTTTCCACATCCTCCACCAGCCGGATGTATTCCTGCAGGATCTGCACAGCAAGAGAAGACAATAACAGAAATGTGACCTCTATAATGGAGGCATAATGCTCCAGCTGCTGGGAGTATTTCTACTCTCTGGTACTCACCTGTACAGGGGCCCCATTCTTGTGTAAAATCTCCACCACCCGATGAAAGCCAACCGGCGCTCTCTTCTTGGTGTAACCCAGCCAGGTCTGTGGAAAGAAGAGGGGACACCATTAGAGTTCAACATGTGGTTAAAAGAATGAGCTGTACAAAAAGACATGGGAAGCATCCATCGCACAAGGGTACTGCCAGCAGCAAACCAAAACCACAAGGGGTCAAAGGATCTGGTAAGCCACCAATTTGTCATCACGGTGGTGCAGTGTTCACATTGGTGCTTATAGAAGTTGGAACGAAGAGCTGGGACTATTCATCACAAAAGGGGACTGTTCTATATACCCACATAGGGACTGTCACATACAGGTGAAACTTGAAAAATTAGAATATCGTGCAAAAGTTCATTTATTTCAGTAATGCAACTTAAAAGGTGAAACTAATATATAAGATAGACTCATTACATGCAAAGCAAGATAGTTCAAGCCGTGATTTGTCATAATTGTGATGATTATGGTTTACAGCTCATGAAAACCCCAAATCCACAATCTCAGAAAATGAGAATATTGTGAAAAGGTGCAATATTCTCGGCTCAAAGTGTCCCACTCTAATCAGCTAATTAAGCCATAACACCTGCAAAGGGTTCCTGAGCCTTTAAATGGTCTCCCAGTCTGGTTCAGTAGGAATCACAATCATGGGAAAGACTGCTGACCTGACAGTTGTGCAGAAAACCATCATTGACACCCTCCATAAGGAGGGAAAGCCTCAAAGGTAATTGCAAAAGAAGTTGGATGTTCCCAAAGTGCTGTATCAAAGCACATTAATAGAAAGTTATGTGGAAGGGAAAAGTGTGGAAGAAAAAGGTGCACAAACAGCAGGGATGACCGCAGCCTGGAGAGGATTGTCAGGAAAAGCCCATTCAAAAGTGTTGGGGACTTTCACAAGGAGTGGACTGAGGCTGGAGTCAGTGCATCAAGAGCCACCACACACAGACGGATCCTGGACATAGGCTTCAAATGTCGTATTCCTCTTGTCAAGCCGCTCCTGAACAACAAACAACGTCAGAAGCGCCTTACCTGGGCTAAAGAAAAACAGACCTGGTCTGCTGCTCAGTGGTCCTCTTTTCTGATGAGAGCATCTTTTGCATCTCATTTGGAAACCAAGGACCCAGAGTATGGAGGAAGAATGGAGAGGCCCAAGGACCCCGAGTATGGAGGAAGAATGGAGAGGTACACACTGCAAGATGCTTGAAGTCCAGTGTAAAGTTTCCACAGTCTGTGTTGATTTGGGGAGCCATGTCATCTGCTGGTGTTGGTCCACTGTGCTTCATTAAGTCCAGGGTCAACGCAGCCGTCTACCAGGAGATTTTGGAGCACTTCATGCTTCCTTTTGCAGATGATCTTTATAGAGATGCAGACTTCATTTTCCAGCAGGACTTGGCACCTGCCCACACTGCCAAAAGCACCAAAACCTGGTTCAATGACCGTGGGATTACTGTGGTTGATTGGCCAGCAAACTCGCCTTACCTGAACCCCATAGAGAATCTATGGGGCATTGCCAAGAGAAAAAGATGAGAGACATGAGACCGAACAATGCAGAAGAGCTGAAGGCCGCTATTGAAGCATCCTGGTCTTCCATAACACCTCAGCAGTGCCACAGGCCGATAGCTTCCATGCCACGCCGCATTGAGGCAGTAATTGCTGCAAAAGGGGCCCAAACCAAGTACTGAGTACATATGCATGCTTCTACTTTTCAGAGGTCTGATATTGTTCTATGTACAATCCTTGTTTTATTGATTACATGTAATATTCTCATTTTCTGAGATTGTGGATTTGGGGTTTTCATGAGCTGTAAGCCATAATCATCACAATTATGACAAATCATGGCTTGAACAATCTTGCTTTGCATGTAATGAGTCTATCTTATATATTAGTTTCACCTTTTAAGTTGCATTACTGAAATAAATGAACTTTTGCACGATATTCAAATTTTTTGAGTTTCACTTGTATATGCCAATTATTTTGCACTTTGGTACTGGTTTACCATTGAGAACTTTATTCATTGTTCACATTTGTATATTTTTGTATGTATGTATTGTTTGTGCATAATATGTATATTACTTTGATTGCACTTTAGCGCAACACCAGATATTTATTTAGATATGGATAGGATGGTATTAGGTGAAGTCATGTGCTAAGCAACAGGGGGGGGGGCGCGGGTTCTTGGTTGGGATGAGATAGAGATATGGACAATATTTAGATTTTTTTAATGAACAGTTATTGGACAACGCACACTGGCCTCAGTAAAGCGATGTGTGAGGACAATGGAGATTTACTAAAACTGGTGCACTTTAATTTTGGTACTGGTTTACCATTGAGCACTTTATTCACTGTTTACATTTGTATAGTTACCCCTGGTTCACATATATGAGGCCATGCGGGCCGCGTTTTGTGGAGGCATGAACGCCCATTTATTTGAATGGACTCCCGTGCCTCGTGACACGCAGGGAAGAAGTCCCTGCACTTCTTCTGAAAACGCAGGCCACACAGGAACCTCGGTTCCCAGTACGATTGCGTTTTCCAGTGCGGGCGCCGTGCCATTAGAATTAATGACACCTGCCCGCGGGTACGCATTCCTCTGTGCGGGTGGTGCGCCTGCACGGATTTTTGTGCGGATCCACAGCCGCACCACCCGCACAGATGTGAACCTAGCCTTATGTATTGTTTATGCATAATATGTATATTACTTTGATTGCACTTTAGCGCAACACCAGATATTTATTTAGATTTGGTATTTAGAGAGGATATCCTCTTAGTGTGTTTGCTGCTTTGTTCACTATCCAATTTTAATGCGTTTTTTAATTGTGTTTATTACCATCCTGCACCCTATGAGTACGTGCATAGCACGAAACGCGTCAGCGGGGCTACAGCAACTGGACGTCTAGCCACCGCTGGTGGCCATCCGAATAACATATGTATCACGCTATGTGGTGTCCCTTATTTGGCTCTACTTTGAGTGCCGTCATTTGCAGACCCTGCTTTAAAGGTGACCCCAGATGGTGATACACTTCAAGGACCCCTGAGCACCCTTTCAGATGTGATCAGAAGGTGTAGGAACCTGACCTGAGAGCAGATGACCTGATTGATACCTGATGAGACAGGCTATATCTCAAATGCGTGTATTTACGCACTTCTGGTGAGTGCGCAATTTATTTAAATTAGATTTATCATCTGCCACCCTGGACCAGATTTCCACGCACAAGTATTGAGATCGTACTAGATCCTCACGTGGGCTGTTTTGTTTGGGACATTTATTCACCACGCTCACCATTTGGTGACATCTAATGTTTTGCACTTAATTTTGCACTTTATGTGATTTATGTTATTTAACTACATGCCGCCCTGCCAATGTACATATACAGCGGCAGGGCGGCACTCGCAGGCAAAACCACGTTTTAAAACGTGTGTTTTGTAAACAAATAGGGGGCGCGCGCGAGGTGGGCCGCCGCCCTGTCTGTCCCACGGATCACCGCCGCAGATGTCAGTCGCCGGGTCACAGCTGCTCCTTAGCGGCTATGTCCCGGCGATCGGCGGCAAAAAGTGACAGACAGCACAGCTGCAGTAGCTGTGCTGTCTGTCACTTCCCTGTCAGCTTGAGGATGAGCTGATCGAGAAAGAACAGTTTCTCTTTCTCGATCAGCCTTGTCCCGCCCAGCACACACCCCCGCCCCCTAGTAAAACACTCCCCTCACTCCTATAACCCTTCCCTGCAAAATAAAGTTAACCCCTTCCTCCCCATTGCCATTAGTACAGTGTCAGTTTTTTTTTTTTTTTTTTTTTGCATTGATCACTGCATTAGTGTTTTTGGGGATGTCAGTGACCCCAAGTCAGAATGTCCGCCACAGTCCCGCCATAAGTCGCTGGTCGCTGCCATAAGTCCCTGATCACCGCCATTATTAGTATAAAAAAAAACCTAAAAATCCCAGTATCTTTCCCGCCATTTGTAAATGCTATAACTTTCACGTAAACCAATTAATTTACACGTATTGGGTTTCTTTTTAGCAAAGACATGTCGCAGAATGCATTTTGGCAGAAATTTATGACTAAATTTGATTTTTACATTTTTTTTTTTACTGGACGTTTTATAGCAAAAAGTCCAAAATATTGGTTTTTTTTTCCTCAAAATTGTCAGCCTTTTTTTTATAGCGCAAAAAATAAAAACCGCATAGGCGATCAAATACCACCGAAAGAAAGCTCAATTTGTGGGGAAAAAAAGATGTAAATTTCATTTATGTACCGTATTGCATGACCGCGCAATTGTCCGTTAAACTAGCGCAGCGCTGTATAGCAGAAAAAATGGCGTAAATTGCAGTATCTATACCATAGTTTGTAGACGCTATAACTTCCGCACAAAGCAATCAATATACACTTATTGGGATTTTTTTTACCAAAAACATGGAGCAGAATACATTTTGGCCTAAATTTATAACCAACTTTGAGTTTACTATATATTTTTTTATAGCTGAAAATAAAAAAATATTGTTTTTCTTCCAAATTTTTGGCCTTTGTTTATAGCGTGAAAAATAAAAAGCGCACAGGTGATCAAATTACACCGAAAGAAAGCTCTATTTGTGTGAAAAAAAGGACGTAAATTTTGTTTGGGTGCAGCATTGCATGACCGCGCAATTATCATTTGAATTAGTGCAGCGCCGAGTAGCAAAAAGAGGCCTGGTCATTAAGGGGGGTAAATCCTCTGGAGCTCAAGTGGTTAATACGCATTATTTTGCACATTATGTCTTTGCGCTGCACCTTTATATTGAAATACTCTTTGGAAGGTTTTATTTGGTTGCCTTTTGGTGTGCTAGCAGCTGTTTTATTTGCAGGTAGCGTTCGCTTATTTTTCCTTTATCCTATTACCATCCTATCCATGCCAGCCCATGGGCCAACATCACAAACTGGTCTCTCTTGCTGTGGATGATTCCCTGCAGCCTAGAGTTCTATGAAGGACCAGGGAAATACCTCGTGTTTCTAAAGCTTTTCTCATCAGTAGATGTCCCTCAGCTGAATGTTTGCTGGTTCCTAGACTGGGCTGACTGCTTTCTGAATCCTTCATTTTTTTTCAACCTTTTGACAAGGACGTATGAAGTAATAGTTCTGTAGGTGGCAGACAAAGAAAGGCATGCTGGGATTGGCACAGACCTTAGTGGTGAAAAGAGCATCAACATCATTCCACGCTCGCAGCTTCGCACGGGCGGCCAGTGCTGTGAGAATGTACAGCTTCTCTGGGATCTGTAACGGAGTCATAAGTATGTCGGCAAATTACTGAGTGCATGGCACTTCTATGTCCAAACAGACACACAAAGCCTCATCTGTCACCTTAAAGGTCTTCCGGAGATTAGTAGGACTGCTGAAGGTTCCCTGTGTGGAGAGAAATATCGGATTAGTGAACTTTGAAGACTCTCTCCCCATACATCACAATGTACACCCCCCCCCCCGCCTCTCACCACGTCCTTCCCCCGCTGCTCACCTCACTTTCTGTGTAGTGGTAGATACAGGAGTAGAACAGGGTGGTGACCAGCGGCATGAAGAGCAGAGAGGCCTTCCTGGGGTGCCTACGGAAGATGTCCTGTCCTGAGGACTCCAAGTGTTTATCATTGACCTGAAATCCACAGAGGGGTCAGAGAGACAATAGAAACTCCCCCCCCCCCCCCCTCTTAATACATGACTTGTACCACCAACCAAGAACTATGCAGGCCATAGACAGACCGTTTATCGGCCAAATTGTCAGCCGATAAACGAAAAATCAGTCGGTGCCGTTGCCGCCACCAATGTCCACGAAAAAAACGGACGTTTTTCTTGGATTTTCCAGCATGACCGATAAAAATAAATGAGAAGATCCGCGTAAAACGGCCGACGGGCTGCCCCACAAACGGCGTGAATATCGGCCAATTTTTCGTGCGGCCGATAAACGACCCGTTTATGGCCTGCACTAGTCTGAGAAATAAGGAGATTCATTAATTAGAACCCTCACTGAGGAAATCAACCATGGTGAAGAAAGGTTCAAAACCGGAGCAGACTGACCATTTGGAAACTCGGGCACTGCCCGAGGGCCCAGGGTCAGTAGGGGGCCCCATGAGATGCCCCTGGTACCTTTTTCATAGGCTTTTTTTGAGTTTGGGCAAGGACACAGGGGCCCCATGATCCCTTATTGCCCGGGGGCCCCATGAGTTGTCAGTCCACACCTGGTCCAAAAGTATCTCCCACTCTGCCAACTGCTTCTACAAATGTGAGTCTGGGAAGGAGAAAAAGCTGGTCGCTCTCCAAGAAAGTTCAAATGCTGGCAACTTTGTTATGGACAAACAAGCAAAGAGTCCCTTGCCGGGGAACTCCTTTACTGACGCATTTCACCTACAAATGTTGGGCTTAAAAGATAAAGTTTAGCCATGTACATTTTTACATAGTTACATTTTTTTTTTTTTTTTTTTAAATGGTTGAATTGGATGGACTTTTTTCAGCCACATTAACTATGTAACATTGGTCCAGCTTGCCCAATGTAAGTACACGTGTGTCATAGCTGTGGAAGCTGTAAATCACTGTAGTAGGTACTGCTACAACAAACAATTGTGGCAAACAAAAAAAATGGGATCATTGTGGAATGTCTACATTCCAAAAAAAAAAAAAAAATAATAGGAATCATTTCTGGAGAGTTTGAACTACCCTAACAAAATTTTGTATATTTCAAAATAGAAAATAAGGGAAAGATTTTTTTTTTTTTGTCAAAATGTTTTTTGTTTTTTTTTCCTCTATATAGTAAACATAACAAATAGTGCTTAACCACCTCCTGTCCGGCCGTTGTATAAAAACGGCCAAATGGTGGCAGTGCAGGGGCGGGTTGCCGTTTATAAACGGCTTTCCCGGCCCCCTGCTGTGCGCGATCCGGTGCCCGCTGTGTCCTTTCAGACACAGTGAAACACTGAAAATCGGACGGGGCCTCCGTGCGAGGTCCCGATCATGTGATAGCTGATTAGCCAATCAGAGATCACATGCAGAGTAGTAAGCAAGATGTCACTTGTGACATCATTGCTTACTACGTGTGAAATCTGTGAATGATCACAGAGGTCACATGGTACAGGGCTATTCACAACAGCCTTGTACCATGTGACAAGCTGTGACCAATCACAGCTCACTCAGTAGTTCTCAATGGCTGCAATAATGCAAAAATGTAAAAAAAAATATAAATCTTCATTACCCCCCACAAGTAGTACAGTGTCACCATGGTGACACTGTACTGCTAGGGTGACAGTATGTAAAAAAAAAATAATAAATAATATAAAAAAAATGTAAAAAAAAGTTTAAAAATTATAATTTTTGGTTATAAACTAATTTGGCTTATTTTTTTTTTACTAAAAATATAACTGAATAAATTTTTGGCCAAGATTTATGATGAAATTTTTTATTTGCTAAATTTTATAAGAAAAACACTTTTTTTTCAAAATTTTTGGACTTTTTAATTTACATAGCAAAAAAAATAAAAATCCCAGTGGTGAATAAACACCACCAAAAAAAAGCTTTATCTGTCTCAAAAAAATGCTAAAAATTCATATGGCTACAGTGTTGCATGACCGCGCAATTGTCATTCAAAGTGTGATAGCGCTGAAAGCTGAAAATTGCCCTGGTCAGGAAGGGGGTGAAAGTGTCCGGACTGGAAGTGGTTAATAAATCCTACCAAAAAGGAAGCTCTGCCTTTTAAACTTGATAAAACATTTGTTTGGGTACAGTGTTGCATGACGAACGGTCACTCAAATTATCACAGCATTGTAAACTGAAAAAGGGGCTAATAATGAAGGGGTAATACAGGCCTCTACTCAAGTGGTTAAAGCCGGAGTTCCACCTGAAAAAAAAGAAATAAAAGTCAGCAGCTACAAAACTGTAGCTGCTGACTTTTAAAATACAGAAACTTACCTGTCCCTTGGTCCAGCGGTGTCCTCCCCGCCTCTAGTTTCACCAGCCGCCTTCTCTCCCTGGCGCCGGCATCTTCCGTGTGGGCACCCAGCTGTGACAGCTTGCGGCTTCACAGCCGGGTGCCCACTGCGCATGCCCGAGAAGCGCTACACTTTGTGAATGGTCCTGTAGTCTCCTGGGACCTGTCACGTGTCCCAGAAGACTACGGGGATGGAGGGATGATGACAAATTCCGCGTCCAATCGCCCAGGCGATCACAGTGGAAGTGAGAGCGGGTACCTGTCAAATTCGAGCACCCGCTCCCCAAAGGTGCCAATCCTTAATGGGGAGCGGGGAACAAAGGCTTAAAGCGGAACTTCCCCTTTTGGGTGGAGCTCCGTTTTAATTGTAGGTCTGCAATTAGGCCCAGCTTTTTGGTTGCTATGTGTCGGCAGGAAAGTCTCAGGCAGGGACCCTTCGCTTGTTTGTCTGGAACAATAAAGTTTGTAGTGTTTTTATTTTCCTGAAGTGCAGCTGGTTTGTTCTCTATCCTAGACTCTCTCATCATTTATGGGGCATAGGTCAAACTCCTGCCGGGTCTAGAACTCAGGTCTTCAGGAGAGAGTGACCTGGCCTTTGGGCTGAAAGCAGCGCACTCCATGTTTGTCTAAGCCTGCTTCTACAAACACGCTGACACTCCACATTATATATGGGAGGTATCTTTTGGTGAAAAGCTGGACACACATGGCAAAACATATGTAGGCCCACAGCACTAGACAGGTCCACTCAGACATGGAACACATGCCAGGTGCCCACACAAAGCCCAGTAAACAATCCTGACCTCAATGATGATCTGTCTTTCCAGTAGGGTATAATGGTCCTGTACAAGGGCTGCATCGTCCTGGCAGAAGGGCAGGCTGAGGGGGAACAACAGACACAGGTGAGTGTCATGGACATGCATGCACATTAAAAAGTTGTGTCAAAATTGATGTTTCAGAATTGTGATTAAATTACAAAAATACAATAAAATAACACAAAACAAAAATACAACAAAAACTCAATTTGTAAATTCACCACAGATGGGGTTCAAAGGTTGCCTACCCCTGATATATACATTTTATGCACAAATGGATACCTGGTTAGCCAAGTAGTGTTTAAAATTGAAAAAAAAAAAACATGTTTTTCTTTGTTTCTGTTATAAAAGTTTGCAAATAAATAATTGTTCTTCATAAATTTAGGCCGAGATGTATTCTGCTACATGTCTTTGGTGAAAATAACCCAAATTAGGATGTATTTTTTAGTTTGTAGGAAAGTTATAGAGTTCACAAACTATGGTATAGATCTGAATATTGATCAATCCTGAAGTACTGACGGCCAATCTAATTTCTTGAGGTCCAAGAATGTCAGAATAGTACAGATATCCCCCAAATGACCCCTTTTTGCAGAGTAGACAGTCCGACGTACTTCATAAGAGGCATGGCGAGTTTTTTGAAGTTGTATTTTTTTGTCATAATTTTTTTGGAAAATGAAAAAATGCAAAAAATTATTTTCACTATTTTTTTTTTTACATACTGTCACCAGTGCAGTACAGCGTCTTCATATAACTGGCATGGCGATGATCAGGGACACTGACTAATGACAGTGAAAAAAAAAAATATATATATTTTTTTAAATGTTTTTTATTATTTTTAATTTTTTATTACATTTATTTCTTTTTTTTTAAGATTTTTTCTTTCATATTTCACTATGTCCAAAGTAGTACAAGGTTACCATAGTAACATTGTATTACTTTGGGGAAGTGATCAGTATTTTTTTTTTACACAATTTGATTATAGCAAAGAATTACTTTGCTATAAAAGCAAGCATTTACCTGAATGACATCAATTCATTCAGGGCTTTTTTTTTTTTTTTTTTTTTTGTGCTTAGCTGTGATTTGACCACAGCTAATCACATGACATGTGCATGTGATTAGCTGTGACCATTCACAGCTAGACAGTAGTATACAATGGATGGCATGAATGAAGCCATCCATTGTATACAACTGTCATGTGACCTGCTGTGATTGGTTACAGCAGGTCACATGGTACCGGCAACGGGGCCGATACTCAGATCTGTCATCGGCCGTGACAGATTGCGCCGCTGCGCGGCTCTGCAGGAGCGCAAACTGCGCATGTGCGGGAGGACGCCATTTGGCGTCCAACCCGGAAATGCAATACATTTTGCCGGCCACCTTTTGGCTATTGGCCGGGCATGTACTGGTTAAAAGCATTATGTAATGGTGATTAGAGAGAAGTGCTGTATTGCTATTGTGATGGATATGGTAAAATGCCTATTTGGTTACCTGTTGAATATATACATTTTTCTATACATATTTCATACTTTTTATATTTCTAAATGTTTTGTATGAATATATATATATATATATATATATATATATATATATATATTTATTGTGTGTGTATTTTTTGCCTGCTGGGCTTTGTGGTACTTTAAGAAATCCTTGCTCAAGAAATGTCTGCTCAGCAACCCCTCCCATCGAGTGAACTTGAGAAGAAAGGAATATTTCTTTTTAGAGATAAGACCTCGGAGGAGATCACGCCTATATTCTGAGGAAGATTGTTTTCGTGTGGAAATGACCAATCAAAAGACTAATATAATGCTAATGCTATTCCCAGGTGACTTTTGCATCATCTCGCATATATAAACTCACGTTTTCATTCCAATAAATTAGAAGACGTTTTCACAGACCTAGCGTGTGTCAGTGTGAGTTTCTTTATGTGCACGCACATTCCAGAGCCAGCAAGATTAATTAGGACAGGAGCAGATAATCACCGGACACTTAGTCCTCACTAAATCACTATTACTATCACATTTTGTTGGGTGGTTTTTACACTCATTGGAGCTTTAGTAGGATACACAGCAAAAACAAAAATTCACTTTATTTTAATATATCAGGTACAGGTGGAGTCTGTCTGGTGGACAGAGACACCCACTAGCTTTCGGTACACAGGAAAAGGCCTTCACAAGGCATGAAATGCAGAGGGATGATGAATGTAAAGGAGAAGTTAACTTTTGCACCTTGTAACCTGTTTCAGCATCTGCAGCAATTTGGAACCCCCCCCCCCCAAAAAAAAAAAAAAAAAAACAAAACAAAAAAGAAAACACAGCCATGCGTGGCTCCACCCACATGGCTGCGTCATTCATTCACAGTTTCCTTTGAATTAATGCCTACAAGTACCGTCATACATTGCAGCAGATGGCTTGTAGTTCTCAATGAACTGTGAGGGTGCCGGTGAGCGCTCTCGTAATCCATTGATCTTCCTGCTCCTAGGTAACTGCCTGCCCATATGAGGTACAGGCAGACAGCTATCTTGAAAGTTTGCAGGAGCCTGACATTGCACCCACGATCTGATCATTACAGGTTCAATGCTCTTCAGGTTCATTAGACAAAGAAGAAGAAGAAATACACATTTTTTTTTATCTGCAAAAAAAGCTGCATATATTTTTTTTCTTTTTAAAGGTGAACTTATTCTTTTAAGCCAAACAACATGTACAAGCAAACCGTGTACAAAGTCAGCCTCCAATTCTACAAATTAGAAATTCTTTTTTTTATTGCAAAATAGAATAATTTAATATGCAAAACAGGCAACAGCACAAAACCTCTTGTGTCAGTACTGACATCATCAGGGATGATCACCGAGACTCACCTGAGACATTTACTCTTTAGGAAGTCTCTACGCTGCTCGGCATCCACAATGTTCAAGTGTTCCCGATATTTACAAAGCTGTGGAGAGACAACCCTCTCTGAGAAAAGGAAGGAATAAACGGCAACACACTCCGGTCAACCATGGATACTCACTGCTAGCTCTTCCGTCCATTCCAGGTACCTGAAAAATATAACAGGCTTCAAGTAAGACAGCAAATAAAAACACAAAAAACCCATTGCTGTTTGTCCAGGAAATTGTAAAGAAAAAGATCACCAAAGTATGGCCGATAGTCCAGATTAAGTCTATTTGTTATTGTAAATGTGTAAAAACAGCCATTCAGGGGTCCAAGTGGCCCCCTTTATCAGGGATTAAAGTACAGCTAAAGCTAGAACTTTTTTTCCTCATTTTGGATGGAGAAAGGGAAGGTTAGGTTTTATTTTATTTATGTTGTTTTTGTTAAGTGCTGGGGGTCCCCTAGGGCTTGAGGGTTGTTTAGTCTTTCTCTAGACAGACGGGATCTCACCCAGCTGACTACAGAACACATTAAAAAGCAGCACGATGAACAGTGGCCAGAGGCTTGCAGCATTATATACACTGACTGATAACACATGGTGAGGTTTATATTTCTATTATTAGTCAGTAATTACAGGATGTCTCCAACTTACAAGCCGACCTCAATGTTCTGTGTAATTGGGCAACTATGTGGCAAATGAGGTTTAATGTTGATAAATGTAAGGATCTGCACTTGAGGGGTAAGAATATGCATGCATCATACATACTGGGGGGGGTACAACTGGGGGGGGGGTCAATGGTGGAGAAGGATCTGGGGGTTCTGGTAGATCACAAGCTTAATAATGGCATCCAATGCCAAGCTGCGGGTTCTAAAGCGAGAAAAATCCTCTCTTGTATTAGGAGAGGTATAGACTCCAGAGAGAGAGATATCATTTCCCCCCGGGTACAAATCATTAGTAATACCTCATCTGGAATATGCAGTTTGGTTTTGGACACCAATTCACAAAAAGAACATTGGGGAACTGGAGAAAGTACAGAGAAGGGCAACCAAACTGATAAGAGGCATGGAGGAGATCAGCTATGAGGAAAGATTAGAGGAACTGAATTTATTCTCTTTTAAGAAGAGGAGATTAAGGGGGGATATGATCTCCATGTATAATACATAAGGGGGGGGTATGATCTCCATGTATAATACATAAGAGGGGATATGATCTCTATGTATAATACATAAGAGGGGATATGATCTCCATGTATAATACATAAGGGGGATATGATCTCCATGTATAATACATAAGGGGGATATGATCTCCATGTATAATACATAAGGGGGATATGATCTCCATGTATAATACATAAGGGGGGATATGATCTCCATGTATAATACATAAGGGGGGATATGATCTCCATGTATAATACATAAGGGGGATATGATCACCATGTATAATACATAAGGGGGGGATATGATCTCCATGTATAATACATAAGGGGGGATATGATCTCCATGTATAATACATAAGGGGGGATATGATCACCATGTATAATACATAAGGGGGGGGACATGATCTCCATGTATAATACATAAGGGGGGATATGATCTCCATGTATAATACATAAGGGGGGATATGATCACCATGTATAATACATAAGGGGGGATATGATCACCATGTATAATACATAAGGGGGATATGATCTCCATGTATAATACATAAGGGGGGATGTGATCTCCATGTATAATACATAAGGGGGGATGTGATCTCCATGTATAATACATAAGGGGGATATGATCTCCATGTATAATACATAAGGGGGGATATGATCTCCATGTATAATACATAAGGGGGATATGATCTCCATGTATAATACATAAGGGGGGATGTGATCTCCATGTATAATACATAAGGGGGGATGTGATCTCCATGTATAATACATAAGGGGGGATATGATCTCCATGTATAATACATAAGGGGGGATATGATCTCCATGTATAATACATAAGGGGGATATGATCTCCATGTATAATACATAAGGGGGATATGATCTCCATGTATAAATACATCAGTGGCTCATATAGTGAACTCGGTGTAGAGCTATTCCCCCTGAGGTCATCACAGAGGACAAGGGGGCACTCTTTACATCTGGAGGAAAATAAATTTAATCTCCAAACACAGAAAGGTTTCTTCACAGTGATAGCTGTGAAAATGTGGAATAGACTCCCTCAAGAGTTGGTTCTGGCCAGCTCACTGGATTGCTTTAAAAAAGGCCTGGATTATTACTTGGATACACAGAATATAACATTTATAGGTAAAGCTGATCCAGGGAATATCCGATTGCCTCTTAAGGGATCAGAAAGGAATTTTTTTTTTTTTTTTTTTTTTTTATGGTTGAACTAGATGGACTTTTGTCTTTTTTCAGCCAAACTAACTAAGTAACTATGTAATTGTTGCCCATTCCCTCTACAAACTGTAATGTCAGGCTGGATAGCGAAAGACCACCAACACAACCTACCTGAGGAGCTCCAAGAGCAGCTGCTGGTCTTCAGTCTCCTTCAGGAAATGAATAAAATGTTGTAGTGCCTCTTGTCTCTCCTTCAGCTCCCGGAATAGAATCTCTGTTAGTAGAACAAACAATGACATCAGTACACAGCCATAGACCACCACAATGCTGCCAGATAGCCTGACCAAGAAGATGGATACACAATACACAATGATGTTATTGTTTCCATCATTTCATGCTGCATTGACGCCAGGGGAAGACTGACAACTCATGGGGCCCCCAGGCAATAGGGGATCATGGGGCCCTTGTGTCCTTGTCCACACTCAAACCACACCCAAAAAAGCCTATGAAAGGTACCAGAGGCATCTCATGGGGCCCCCTACTGACCCCGGGCCCTCGGGCAGTGCCCAAGTGCTCAAATGATCAGTCCGCCCCTGATTGACGCTCACCTGTGTAGTTACCTGGGGAGGCACAGTCTTTAGGTCATACAGGTTACTCTAAGAAAACTTGGGACATTCAATACATATATGATGCAGTACTTGTTGCAATATATGTTAGCACTTTGGCCCACAGTCCTCTACATGTTCTGACCTATGTTTAATTGTACGCAACTAGCTACTTAGGGCAGTGGCTGTCAACTTATCACACAATATAGAGGGTTGTATATGTGGCCCCGGACATCACCAAAGGGCGCACACAATGTTGAATATATGTAATGCTAGAAAGGACTGTCAGAAACTGCAGACATGATGGTCAGCAACTGCAGGTTTGGATGGAGATGGTAAAAATAGAAAAATACTGCAGAGAACAGTGAGGGACTTGTAACATAAGTACAGGTCCTGCTATTGCAAATCAATACTTTCATTACAGTCTCTGGGGTCCAGAGGCTGCACAACGACCAAAAGGCCAGCTTATGTGATAATAGTTTTCACAAAATTAATTCTTGTCTTTAAAAAAAGATTTAGGACAATTTTTTCTTTTCAAATTATACTCACCTAGGTGGATGCAGGATCGATCCAATGCTGCATTTGTCCCCTGCCGGTTCTAAAAGGTGAGAACTGAGCGATCAGACACTGCTGATCGCTCAGTTCTCTCGAAGCAGAGAGCCAGGACTGTCAGTGTTCGCCTCTCTGCCCCCCCACATGCTCACTGGAGTACTGAGCTGTGGAGGAGGAGGGAGCGGATGGCTCAGGCTCTCAGTGGATTGCTGAAAGGCTGAGCCAGGTGGCGATCTTGGGATCTGGGTGGATCCCAACTTTAAAATTGGGATCTTTCCCCAGCCTGGACAGGGTGAGTGATGTCAGCCGACCGCAGACTTTAGCCCGCCATCGGCTGAAAGCAGGTCACAGGACTGCGGAATGAACTGCACTCCTGTTATCCACAGAAGTACAGCTAAACAAGCTTTGGCTGTACTTCTCCTTTAATTACACACGCCTTTTTTTAGATTTTCTCCACATTTATATGTGCGCCAAGCCGTCCAGCAAAAGTGACAGTTAAAAGGGTTGGCACACATTGTACATTGCTGGAGGGGGGTACATCATCACCTGGAACTCTCCAATCCTGCCCATGTGCCCACTTCGCTCCTCCCACAGGTTGGTGGGGTTTTTAGTGAAAAATCAGGCTGCTTTAAAATCAGTGCCACGGCTTTTTAGCTGGCAAAGTTATGGACCCCCTTGCTCAGCTGCTGGCTTGGGAACAGTCATCAGCACACCCCACACTGATGTTCTGCCTATGATGTTCTGCCTACAGCTAAGTGAATTACATTTCCTGGCAGTGCAGCTCCATCTACAAAAACCAGACAAGACAAGCATAGGGCCTGAATTACTAATACATGGAGGTACATGGAGAAGACGCTGACTTTATTACAGCTGCAGTGCTTCCTGGACACACATTGTGGATTTCTTGGTATATTTGGGGTGCTCAGGCTGGTTATATCTGGGGTCCTCAAGTTGGGAATTATGGCCAACAATGACCACTTCTGTAAATGGGGGGAGAACGTGTTAGCCGCAACTCCGACTAATCCCTGAACAAGACGCCACAAAGACACTCAGAGCCGGAATACTGCTAAATCACACACAGCCTTCATCATCCAACTGACTACAGGATAGACATGACACAAATTGTTAGGGGACACCCACCTCATTATGGCCACTTACCTGAATGTAAGGTCTTTTTCAGGAATATTAAAACCTGCAAATATGAAATGAAACATGACAGTGACCAACCAGGGGGGGCAAAGTGAAGGATGACACAGAAAGAAAGACTGTAAGCTTCTCCACACCTTTTTGCACTGATGCCCCGAAATGTATTGAGCCGATTTAAACGTAAAGAATAAGTTCACCTTTTTTGTCAAAAATAATAAATGCACATTTTTTTTCAGGTAAAAAAAAATGTGCATTTATTATTATTGTCCAAAGGTGCCTGGAAAGCATTGCACCAGCGATCAGTAGATCGCTAGTGCCATGCAGGTCTCCTGCAGACCTGTCAGAATATCTGCTTGCTGTACATCCCGTACAGGCAAGCAGATATTCTGACAGGTCTGCAGGAGACCTGCATGGCATCAGCGATCTACTGATCGCTGCTGCAATGCTTTCCATATACTGACAGGAACCTTCAATGAACTACCACAGCGCCGTAGTAGTTCATTGAAAACTACAAGCTGACAGCCGCTAAGGCTGCTGGGACTTGTAGGCACTCATTCACAGAATGACGTGGCCGTGTGGGCGGAACCCCAGCTGCGGCTATGGGAACACATTACATGTTCCACCCTAAAAATGGGTGTAACATGTTCCAAAGGTGAACTTATCCTTTAAAAGTATACAATTTAATGCCATGGGGTTGATTTACTAAAACTGGAGGGCGCAAAATCTGGTACAGCTCTGCATAGAAACCAATCACCTTCCAAGTTAGGGGCTGAAGTTAGGTTTTGATTGGCTACTATGCAGAGCTGCACCAGATTCTGCACTCTCCAGTTTTAGTAAATCGACCACAGTGATTCAATCTAGAAATTCATTTGCGCTTTAATCTCCCTTTCCCATCATCATTTATCTCTTGAAACACTTACAATAATATTTGATTGGTTAGGTGTTGTTTTAGCCACACCCATTTCCTAATCCAGGCCACCCCTCAAAGTGGATGAGACCCTTCATCTACTTACAGCTGTGATGACATTCCCATCATGAAGTCGGACGGCTTCATCCAGAAGTTGTAGCTTCTCCTTCAAAGAGCGGAACCTCTCCAGGGAGCAGACCTGTCCACAAATACACACACACCATCCTATAAAGATCAGGAATTAGGACCACTGACAATGTGCTGCCTTTATCTCAAGCTGGAGGAAGCAGAAATGCGACATTATGCTCCTAGAAAACTACAGGCCAGGGAGTGATCTATGTGCAGGATAATTTCTCCCCCCCCCATTGTCACAGCAAAAATTGGGGGTGTGGGGGATTGATAAGGGGACAACCGCACAAAGGTACAGTTGTCCTTTAACCCCTTGACGCCGACGGTACACAAATATGCGGCCTCACGGAACTGGGCCTTTGTGGGGCCACATATTTGCGCACCTGTCTTTGTGCTGGGAGCGCGACGCATGACACGCTCCCAGCACAGAGACCGCGGTGTCACTGAGAGCCCCGGGTCCCGTTCTAACGATCGGGACCCGGGACTCCCGATTTCGGGTCGCCTGATCGCTGTGATAGCCTCTGATTGGCTATCACAGTGATCAGTCACTGTGCAGCCCGGCCCCCTTGTTTTTTTTCTCTCTGGAGAAGAAAGATACATTGTATCTCTCTAACTCCTGACATAGAGAGATAAAAAATGTTTGTAAATAAAAATAAATAAATAAATATTAAAAAATAAAAGAAAAAATAAATACCTAGATCAAGGTTTGATCTAGTTCAGTGCCAAGGTTACTGTTTGGGTCAAGGTCAGGGTCAAAGTCAAATGTCAGGGTCAAAGTCAACGGTCAGGGTCAAAGTCAACGGTCAGGGTCAAATGTCAGGATTAAAAAAAAAAATTGGTATCAGTGTCAGTTAGCGTTAATGTCAGTGTGTTTTAGCTAAGAAAAAAAATTAAAAAATGCGCGCTATTGTTTCTGGACTGTACTACGGGTACAAACAACAAATAACATACACATATATGGTATCGCTGCGATCGTCAAGAGCTGGAGAATTTATTTTGGGTTGTTCTATGGAGGTAGGTTATGGTCGTACCAAGAAACACACAGCTAACTAGTTTTCCTTTGATAATAAAAAAAAAAAATTAGGAGCTATCCATTACTATTTACCACCAAATGAAACCCCAATTTGTCCTGAAAATAACGCGGTATAATCCACCTGGATGTACAAAGTAGTTGTGATGATCTGTACGGTTTTACTAACACATGTCAATGTTGCAGAATTGTGCTTAGGCATTTAGATTTGTTTTACCCTTAGGCGTGAAGGGGTTAAGCAAATCCCTATTTTTTTTTTTTTTGGTGAATTGGTTGCAACATTTTTTTTTACCTGGAGGTCCTGTCAGTAACAGCACTTCCTGTTGCAGGCAGTCAATGCTAAGCCACTGCCTCACAATTAGCAGCAGTGTTGTCAGGCAAGCTTCTCCAGTTGGCTGTTGAGCTGCCTGATTGCTCCTACAGCAAGGCTGGGTACACACGGGAAGTTTTTTTCCTTCAACCCAGAATGAAAATAAAACGACAGATTGCTAGACTAACACATCCAATGCTAGTGCGGCGATCTCCCTGCTCAGCGAGGCTGGACAAGGAGCTGTACTGACAGCTGTAGGAGCGGTACCAACCATTTTCGGCCCGTGTGTACCAAGATTAAGTCCAGTGGCTAACTGAGTGAATGCACACAGAGGGCTGGCAATGCTGCTGATAAGTTGCTTAAGAAAACTGCATGCAGTAAGACATGATGCTAATCTTGCCAAAGAATTCAAAGCATGACTCCAGACATAGGCTTGTTTATCTCTGGACAGGAGGAAGTGGGGGGGGGGTGGAATTTCTATCAGGTTTTTATTGCCTTCTGTGACCTCCTGGCCCCCTGTGTGATCTCCCCTAGTGGGGACACAGACATTTCTTTAGTAAGCTGTCATATATGTTATTGCGCTTTTCCATTTGAGTCAGAAATGCAGAGGACACATAATGCTGGCCCTGCGAGGAGAACTGTCCAGATCACAGAGCATACCTTGCCTTTGCTCATCCTGCGAACGGAATCCTCAATGCTCCACTCCCCGTTATAATCCTGGAAAATACATCAGAACGTTATTGTTTGCACTTCCTTCTGCTTACCCCGCAGGGGCTCCGCTACCTTCCGCTTACCCCGCAGGGGCTCCGCTACCTTCCGCTTACCCCGCAGGGGCTCCGCTACCTTCCGCTTACCCCCTAGGGGCTCCGCTACCTTCCGCTTACCCCGCAGGGTCTCTCCTACCTTCCGCTTACCCCGCAGGGTCTCTACCTACCTTCCGCTTACCCCGCAGGGTCTCTCCTACCTTCCGCTTACCCCGCAGAGGCTCCCCTACCTTCCGCTTACCCCGCAGGGGCTCCCCTACCTTCCGCTTACCCCGCAGGGGCTCCCCTACCTTCCGCTTACCCCGCAGGGGCTCCCCTACCTTCCGCTTACCCCGCAGGGGCTCCCCTACCTTCCGCTTACCCCGCAGGGGCTCCCCTACCTTCCGCTTACCCCGCAGGGTCTCCCCTACCTTCCGCTTACCCCGCAGGGTCTCCCCTACCTTCCCCTTACCCCGCAGGGTCTCCCCTACCATCCGCTTACCCAGCAGGGTCTCCACTTCCTTTCGCTTACCCCGCAGGGTCTCCACTTCCTTCCGCTTACCCCGCAGGGTCTCCACTTCCTTCCGCTTACCCCGCAGGGTCTCCACTTCCTTCCGCTTACCCCGCAGGGTCTCCACTTCCTTCCGCTTACCCCGCAGGGTCTCCACTTCCTTCCGCTTACCCCGCAGGGTCTCCACTTCCTTCCGCTTACCCCGCAGGGTCTCCACTTCCTTTCGCTTACCCCGCAGGGTCTCCACTTCCTTTCGCTTACCCCGCAGGGTCTCCACTTCCTTCTGCTGAGCCCACAGGGTCTCCACTACCTTAACCCACAGGGTCTCCACTACCTCCCCTTACCCCACAGGGTCTCCACTACCTCCCCTTACCCCACAGGGTCTCCACTACCTCCCCTTACCCCACAGGGTCTCCACTACCTCCCCTTACCCCACAGGGTCTCCACTACCTTCCCCTTCCTAGAGGCCCTCATTGCCTCCTGCTACACACGACCCCCTCCCCACCTTACCAACAGGCCTCCTCTGCCTCCCCACTACCCAAAAGGCCTCCACTTCTCACCATCCAATGATACCTGGTATTCAGATCTTGGTTTCCGCAACTCTGGGGCATAATGTCTATTGTTTGTCTCTAGAACATCTTGAAGAGAAGAGGAAAAAACATGACCAGATGCTCAACCCTAGTTAAACACCATGAGAAGGGCAGAAAAACCAACTTACCATCAGACAGCGACTGGAAACTACTCTGCCGGGTCTTTCCTGCAATGGACAGAGGCAGCAATAGGGATCACAAAGAAATATAATATACAATACAAATCTACACAGAATGTATACTAAGAGAATTATCACCCAAACCGTACTCTCCGCTCCTCGCAAGACCTCCTACTCTCTAGCTCCCTTGTCTCCTCCTCCCATGCTCATCTCCAGGACTTCTCAAGAGCTTCCCCCATCCTCTGGAACTCTCTACCCCAATTTATCAGACTATCGCCTACTCTGCTCACTTTTAGGCGATCTCTGAAAACCTCTCTCTTCAGGGAAGCCTATCCTGTCCTCAGCTAATACTGGAATCTTCTACTCTTCCAACCAGTCCATCCCCCACAGTTACTACCTTTTGTACCACTAGCCCCTCCCTCCTAAATTGTAAGCTCCAAGGAGCAGGGCCCTCCTATCCCTCTTGTATTGAACTGTATTGTTGCTGTATTGTCTCCCGTTATATTGTAAAGAGCTGAGCAAACTGTTGGCGCCATAAATCCTGTATAATAATAATGAGGAACACAACACAACCTACACAGGAGGGTAAGACAATAAATAGCATTCACCTTTAAAGAGGCTGCCAAGAGAATAGGAGGACACTGGTTTGGGGAAGGAGTAAGAGGACGACTCTGAACGAGGTTTCTCAGTTCCTGGACTCTTTGTGTCCCTCCCCCGGTTACCTGATGAGGTTTCTTTAATAGACCATGATATACCTGATAGAGACACAAAAACAGATCAGGTGGGACAATCAACCCGGCATAACAGACTTCCAAAATCCCCCTCTTCCATATGGGCTACCCCTTAGACACCAAGATAGAAGGCTACTTCTTAGAGACCACGATGGGGGGTACCCTTTGGACACAGAGATGGGGGGTACCTTTTGGACACCCAGATAGCAGTACTTCCTACGTATTAGATGTATCACCTTCAGAGATGGATACTCACTCCCCACCGGCTCTCCACTCCAGGTGAATCTCTCCCAATCCTCATCATCTTCCTCCACAAAGGCTTTCAGACTGTTGACAGCGCGCTTCGATTCTTTCAGCTAAAAAAGTTATCAGCTTTAGTTGAGGCTGCAATCCAGTACAATGGACACAACATACACAGGATTCTAGGTTCAGGAAGGACTGGAGAGTCCGAGGATGGACAGAGGACAAGGATGACATCAGGCTAGGGAGAAGGATGAGACAATTGACGGAGTGGGGGAGGCTGAGATATGAGATCAGTCTAAGGTGGCATACAACCACAACTGTCATTTTGGTTTTCCACTTTACCTGAGACAATCCATCCTCATCGTGGTCATCAAAGGTGAACGCCTTACACTTGGAAGCATTCCAGTAATCTTCATCCTCCTTTACCCTGGACATCTGGAGTGTAGAGAGAGGAGCACGGGAGTGTCACTACCCAGACACAGCCAGAAACAGAGCATCACCCCGAGAGAGAGCCAGAGAAGCATCAACCCCCCCCAACCAAGAACAGAGCATTACCCCCCAGGAACAGACAGAGACACAGCAACACCCCAAGAAAGAGCCAGAGAAGGAGCATCAAACCCCCTAGAAACAGCCAAAGAATCACCCCCCCCTCCCCACCAAGAACAGCCAGAGATAGAGCATTACCAACCAGGAACAGCCAGAGACAGAGCATCGTGCCCCCTTCCCCCCCAGGAACGGCCAGAGACGGAGTGTCGCGCCCCCCCCCCCAGAAATGGCCAGAGACGGAGCGTCGCCATCTCCCCCCAGGAACGGCCAGAGACGGCGCGTCGCCCCCTCCCCCCAGTAAAGGCCAGAGATGGAGCGTCGCCCCCCCAGGAACGGCCAGAGACGTTGCATCGCCCCCTCCCCCCAGGAACGGCCAGAGATGGAGCGTCGCCCCCTCCCCCCTGGAACTGCCAGAGATGGCGCATCGCCCCCTCCCCCCAAGAACGGCAAGAGATGGCGCATCGTCCCCTCCCCCCAGGAACAGTCAGAGACGTTGCGTCGCCCCCCCTCCCCCCAGGAACGGCCAGAGACGTTGCGTCGCCCCCTCCCCCCAGGAACGGCCAGAGACGTTGCGTCGCCCCCTCCCCCCAGGAACGGCCAGAGACGTTGCGTCGCCCCCTCCCCCCAGGAACGGCCAGAGACGTTGCGTCGCCCCCTCCCCCCAGGAACGGCCAGAGACGTTGCGTCGCCCTTCCCCCACCAATCCACAATGGTGAGAATATAACTAAGCCTATAATGTCAGCAGATGGGAAATGAGTGCAGAATTCAGGAAGCTGTCAGCCCCGTGTAGCAGCCATAGAAAATCCTCCCCTCAGCTGTACTCCGGTCTGAGGGGAGCCAGAGAAGGAGAGAGCAGAGTGCCAGAACCCGCATACCTCTCCTCCACGATCAGGAGCTCTCTGTCCCGGGTCACGCTGGGAGGTGTAGTCCACACCGCCCTCTACAGGCTGGCACTGCGTCACAGGCAGAACTACCACTCCCAGCAACCACCGCGCCCGACACTTCCTGACCAAAGAGGTCACCTCCCCCCGCCCACACACACACTGAGATCCGATACAATGTATCCTATACATAGAATAGTGTATATTATACGGGGGGGGGGGGGGGGGGGGGGGGGCATTATATTGTCCACGTCCTACAGGGGGACTCCTCATATTGTGATCTACTGAGCCCAGGATTGCCCCTCCCATCCGTCATAGCCCCTCCCATTTATCCAGCATAGAATGATTCCCCTCCTCTTGCATTACATTAATTTCATAGAATAATACTAATAATGTTTATTATAATATAATGATATTGATATAGTACATTGCTAATAATAATTTGTCTCGCAGCCCTCAGTAAAGATGGCTCCATTGCCTTGCCTCCTGGAGAGCTCTTCTAGCAAACTGGCGGCTCCAGCTGTTTGGAAACTACATGTCCCATCATGCCTCTACCCTTGGGAGTCGTGCTTGTAACCGTCAATCTTGCAATGCCTCATTGGGACTTGTAGTTTGGCAACAGCTGGAGGACCGCCACTTTGACATCTGCTCATTGGTTCTCTGAGTGTCCCTGCTGAACGCGCGGCGCCATATTGCTGGGGCCTGGCTCGGGGAGCTCAGCGATGGTCTCCGGCAAGATGGCGTAAGGCAGGAAAGGGCGGAGCCGTAGGCGGGCCTGCCGGCTTTCCAGGCTCTTCTAGTAACTTCTACGGATAAAAAAAAGTGACGGCGGAGGTCCGCGGAGGGGGACACACCGGGGACGGCACAGTCATGGCCAAGTGGGGACAGGGAGACCCGCGCTGGATTGTGGAGCAGAGGGCGGACGCCACCAACGTCAACAACTGGCATTGGTGAGGCCGGAGAGCCCGGGCACGTTGTGTTCATGATTCTCCTTCACCGATAAACACCGGTCTACCGGATGGCACCTCCCCCTCATACACATGGCCCCGAGATCCTCCCACACTCCAGTGTCCTCCATCCCTCAGTTTTGGGTCATTATAACGGCCATTTGTTGGGGGAGATTCTGCACCCCTTCAGCTGCAATGTACCCGGGGTGACGGTGATATACAATGTATCTGGTGTGACGGTGATGTACAATGTACCCGGGGTGACGGTGATGTACAATGTACCCGGGGTGACGGTGATGTACAATGTACCCGGGGTGACGGTGATATACAATGTACCTGGTATGAAGGTGATGTACAATGTACCCGGGGTGACGGTGATGTACAATGTACCCGGGGTGACGGTGATGTACAATGTACCCGGGGTGACGGTGATGTACAATGTATCTGGTGTGACGGTGATGTACAATGTACCCGGGGTGACGGTGATGTACAATGTACCCGGGGTGACGGTGATGTACAATGTACCCGGGGTGACGGTGATGTACAATGTACCCGGGGGGTGACGGTGATGTACAATGTACCCGGGGTGACGGTGATGTACAATGTACCCGGGGTGACGGTGATGTACAATGTACCCGGGGTGACGGTGATGTACAATGTACCCGGGGTGACGGTGATGTACAATGTACCTGGTGTGACGGTGATGTACAATGTACCTGGTGTGACGGTGATGTACAATGTACCTGGTGTGACGGTGATGTACAATGTACCTGGTGTGACGGTGATGTACAATGTATCTGGTGTGACGGTGATGTACAATGTATCTGGTGTGACGGTGATGTACAATGCGTCCGGGGTGACGGTGATGTACAATGCGTCCGGGGTGACGGTGATGTACAATGCGTCCGGGGTGACGGTGATGTACAATGCGTCCGGGGTGACGGTGATGTACAATGCGTCCGGGGTGACGGTGATGTACAATGCGTCCGGGGTGACGGTGATGTACAATGCGTCCGGGGTGACGGTGATGTACAATGCGTCCGGGGTGACGGTGATGTACAATGTACCCGGGGTGACGGTGATATACAATGTATCTGGTATGAAGGTGATGTACAATGTACCCGGGGTGACGGTGATATACAATGTATCTGGTATGAAGGTGATGTACAATGTACCCGGGGTGACGGTGATATACAATGTATCTGGTATGAAGGTGATGTACAATGTACCCGGGGTGACGGTGATGTACAATGTACCCGGGGTGACGGTGATGTACAATGTACCCGGGGTGACGGTGATGTACAATGTACCCGGGGTGACGGTGATGTACAATGTACCCGGGGTGACGGTGATGTACAATGTACCCGGGGTGACGGTGATATACAATGTATCTGGTGTGACGGTGATGTACAATGTACCTGGGGTGACGGTGATGTACAATGTACCCGGGGTGACGGTGATATACAATGTATCTGGTGTGACGGTGATGTACAATGTACCCGGGGTGATGGTGATAATGAGATACGTGTCGGGGGTGATAGTGATATGCGACGTGTCCGGGGTGACGGCGATATGCGACGTGTCGGGGGGTGACGGCGATATGCGACGTGTCGGGGGGTGACGGCGATATGCGACGTGTCGGGGGGTGACGGCGATATGCGACGTGTCAGGGGGTGACGGCGATATGCGACGTGTCCGGGGGTGGCGGCGATATGCGACGTGTCCGGGGTGGCGGCGATATGCGGCGTGACGGCGATATGCAACGTGTCCGGCGTGATGGCGATATGCAACGTGTCCGGCGTGACGGCGAGATGCAGCGTGACGGCGAGATGCAGCGTGTCCGGGGTGACGGTGAGATGCAGTGTATCCAGGGTGACCATTATTTTTATATATATATATATACACATACACACACACACACACACACACACACCGATCAGTCATTACATTGTGACCACCCACCTACCTAATGCCGAGAAGGTTCTACGTGTTGCCGCCAAAGCAGCCGTGACCCGTCCAGCCGTGGACCCCACTGAGCCGTCCATAGCAAATCCTTTACCTCCTGTAAGATTGAGATCTGGGGAAGTTGGAGGCCAAATCAACACCTCAGACTCATTGTTGTGTTCCTCAACCCATTCTTGAGCCATTATCCTGCTAATAGAGGTCCCTTCCATTAGGGAATACCATTTCCATGAAGGGGTGGACTTGTTCACCAACAATGTTTCAGTAGGTGATCCATGGAATATCCGATTACCTCTCGGGGGATCAGGAAGGAATTTTTTCCCCTGCAGGAGCAAATTGGATCATGCTTTGCTGGGTTTTTTTTGCCTTCCTCTGGATCAACTGTGGGTGTAGGATTATAACTTTTTTTTTTTTTTAATGGTTGAACTGGATGGACTTTTGTCTTTTTCTGTCTATCCATTCAGTGGTATCCGACCCTTGGCGATTGCATGGACCGTCACTCGTAAGCGACATTTTCCATGAATTCTCTTAGCAATTATTTTACACGGTAGGTCGCCAGGTCTTTCCCCAACCCCCACCATGCAGGAGATCCCACATGGCCAGGGATGAAACTAGGACAACTTAGGAGCCAATTAACCTACCAGCATGTCTTTGTAGTGTGGGAGGAAACTGGAGTACCCAGAGGAAACCCACACAAGCACAGGGAGAACATGCAAACTCCATGCAGGAGGCGCCGTGGTTAGGAATTGAACCCATGGCCCATTTACTGCACGGCAAACATGCTAACTACTAAGCCACTGTGCCGCCCTTTGTCCTTTTAAGCCAGACTAACTATGTAACATCCACATGAGTGACACGAGCCAAGGTTTCCCAGCAGAACATTGCCCAAACCATCACACGGCCTCCCCCGGCTTGTCTTCTTCACATACTGCATCCTGGTGCCATCTCTTCCCCAGGTAAATGACACACAGACACCCGACCATCCACAGGATCTAAAAGAAACTGTGATCCACCAGACCAGGCCACCTTCATCCATTGCTCCGTGGTCCAGTTCCGATGCTCACATGCCCATTGTAGACACCTTTGGCCGTGGACACGGGTCAGCGTGGGCACCATGACCGGCCTATGGCTACACAGCCCCATACACAACAAACTGCGATGTCAATTGTTTCTGCTTTCAACACATCAACTTCAGGGACAACATGTTCACTTGCTGCCCAATATATCCCACCTACTTTCAGATGCCATTGTAATGAGATAATCTGTGTTCACTTAACCTGTCAGTGGTCATAATGTTGTGGCTGATCGGTGTATATATTATATAAATATATATTGACACACACACGGGTTTATTAAGCTGGTTCACTCACAATCTGGTGCAGCTCTGCATAGTAGCCAATCAGCTTCCAGGTTTTATTTCCAAAGTTTAATGGAACAAGCTGAAGTTAGAAGCTGATTGGCTCCCATGCACAGCTGCACCAGCTTTACCCTAGGTTCACACCTATGCAGGTTGCGTTTCTGCATTTTTGGTGTGTTTTGGGGCGGGGGGCATTTTTTTTTCTTGTTGCTAGGCAGATTTAAAACGCATCAGAAACGCAATACGTGCTTTTCTGTAGCATTCCTATTGAAGTCTATAGAACCAAAAATGCAACGTTTTGCTTCCAGGTGAAAACGCGGAGATGTGAACGTATCCCATAGGAAATCATGTTAAATGGACTGCACTGCGTTTCTGCAAAATGCTACAGAAAACGTTTAGGTGTGAACCTAGGGTTCGTAAATCCCCCTGTAATATATATTTTTTTTTTTTCTCTCATATATGATACTTGTGTATATACTCACTATCCTCGGCATCTATACTGTGGGGTTGACTTACTAAAAGCAAATATACAGTGCCCTGCACGTGCAGTTGCTCCAGATCTTAGTAAATGAAGGGCGCTCTGCCTTCTGTCATCCAATCACGTACAAGCAAAAAATGCTGGTTTTTTTTTTTAAATTTTCCTTGCATGTGATTGGGTATTCTTTGCAAAGTGAAGCTTCACCCTATGTACTAAGGTCTGGAGCAGCTGCACGTGCAGTGCACAGTCTATTTAGTGAATCCACCCCGGAGTATTTATTTCAGGTACCTATATAGCGCCGTCAGTTTACACAGCACTTTACATATACAGTGGGGATCGAAAGTTTGGGCACCCCAGCTAAAAATTTGTATTAATGTGCATAAAGAAGCCAAGGAAAGATGGAAAAATCTCCAAAAAGCATCAAATTACAGATTAGACATTCTTATAATATGTCAAAAAAAGTTAGATTTTATTTCCATCATTTACACTTTCAAAATAACAGAAAACAAAAAAATGGCGTCTGCAAAAGTTTGGGCACCCTGCAGAATTTTATAGCATGCACTGCCCCCTTTGCAAAGCTGAGACCTGCCAGTGTCATGGATTGTTCTCAATCATCGTCTGGAAAGACCAGGTGATGTCAATCTCAAAGGTTTTAAATGCCCAGACTCATCTGACCTTGCCCGAACAATCAGCGCCATGGTTTCTTCTAAGCAGTTGTCTAGAAAACTGAAACTGAAAATAGTTGACGCTCACAAAGCTGGAGAAGGCTATAAGAAGATAGCAAAGCGTTTTCAGATGTCAATATCCTCTGTTCGGAATGTAATTAAGAAATGGCAGTCATCAGGAACAGTGGAAGTTAAAGCAAGATCTGGAAGACCAAGAAAAATATCAGACAGAACAGCTCGCAGGATTGTGAGAAAAACAATTCAAAACCCACGTTTGACTGCACGATCCCTCCAGAAAGATCTGGCAGACACTGGAGTTGTGGTACACTATTCCACTATAAAGAGATACTTGTACAAATATGGTCTTCATGGAAGAGTCATCAGAAGGAAACCTCTTCTACGTCCTCACCACAAAAATCATCGTTTGAACTTTGCAAATGAACATATAGACAAGGCTGATGCATTTTGGAAACAAGTTCTGTGGACCGATGAGGTTAAAATTGAACTTTTTGGCCGGAATGAGCAAAGGTACGTTTGGAGA